ATGGGGAGTGGGAAGACATGGGGAGTGTGGATACATGAGGAGTGGGAAGACATGGGGAGTGTGGAGACATCGGGAGTGTGGATACATGGGGAGTGTGGATACATGAGGAGTGGGAAGACATGGGGAGTGTGGAGACATGGGGAGTGTGGATACATGAGGAGTGGGAAGACATGGGGAGTGTGGAGACATGGGGAGTGTGGAGACATGGGGAGTGTGGAGACATGGGGAGTGTGGAGACATGGGGAGTGTGGATACATGGGGAGTGTGGGGACATGGGAGTGTGGATACATGGGGAGTGGGAAGACACGGGGAGTGTGGGGACATGGGGAGTGGGGAGACATGGGGAGTGTGGAGACATGGGGAGTGTGGATACATGGGGAGTGTGGAGACATGGGGAGTGTGGATACATGGGGAGTGTGGATACATGGGGAGTGTGGAGACATGGGGAGTGTGGATACATGGGGAGTGTGGATACATGGGGAGTGTGGATACATGGGGAGTGTGGAGACATGGGGAGTGTGGATACATGGGGAGTGTGGATACATGGGGAGTGTGGAGACACGGGGAGTGTGGATACATGGGGAGTGTGGATACATGGGGAGTGTGGATACATGGGGAGTGTGGATATATGAGGAGTGGGAAGACATGGGGAGTGTGGAGACATGGGGAGTGTGGATACATGGGGAGTGTGGATACATGGGGAGTGTAGATACATGGGGAGTGTGGAGACACGGGGAGTGTGGATACATGGGGAGTGTGGATACATGAGGAGTGGGAAGACATGGGGAGTGTGGATACATGGGGAGTGTGGAGACATGGGGAGTGTGGAGACATGGGGAGTATGGAGACATGGGGAGTGTGGAGACATGGGGAGTGTGGAGACATGGGGAGTGTGGATACATGGGGAGTGTGGATACATGGGGAGTGTGGAGACATGGGGAGTGGGGAGACATGGGGAGTGTGGAGACATGGGGAGTGTGGATACATGGGGAGTGTGGAGACATGGGGAGTGTGGGGACATGGGGAGTGTGGATACATGGGGAGTGTGGAGACATGGGGAGTGTGGAGACATGGGGAGTGTGGAGACATGGGGAGTGTGGAGACATGGGGAGTGTGGAGACATGGGGAGTGTGGGGACATGGGAGTGTGGATACATGGGGGAGTGTGGAGACATGGGGAGTGTGGGGACATGGGGAGTGTGGGGACATGGGGAGTGTGGAGACATGGGGAGTGTGGAGACATGGGGAGTGTGGGGACATGGGGAGTGTGGATACATGAGGAGTGGGAAGACATGGGGAGTGTGGAGACATGGGGAGTGTGGAGACATGGTGAGTGTGGAGACATGGGGAGTGTGGAGACATGGGGAGTGTGGATACATGGGGAGTGTGGGGACATGGGAGTGTGGATACATGGGGAGTGGGAAGACACGGGGAGTGTGGGGACATGGGGAGTGTGGAGACATGGGGAGTGTGGAGACATGGGGAGTGTGGATACATGGGGAGTGTGGAGACATGGGGAGTGTGGATACATGGGGAGTGTGGATACATGGGGAGTGTGGAGACATGGGGAGTGTGGATACATGGGGAGTGTGGATACATGGGGAGTGTGGATACATGGGGAGTGTGGAGACATGGGGAGTGTGGATACATGGGGAGTGTGGATACATGGGGAGTGTGGAGACACGGGGAGTGTGGATACATGGGGAGTGTGGATACATGGGGAGTGTGGATACATGGGGAGTGTGGATACATGAGGAGTGGGAAGACATGGGGAGTGTGGAGACATAGGGAGTGTGGATACATGGGGAGTGTGGATACATGGGGAGTGTGGATACATGGGGAGTGTGGAGACATGGGGAGTGTGGATACATGGGGAGTGTGGATACATGAGGAGTGGGAAGACATGGGGAGTGTGGATACATGGGGAGTGTGGAGACATGGGGAGTGTGGAGACATGGGGAGTGTGGAGACATGGGGAGTGTGGAGACATGGGGAGTGTGGAGACATGGGGAGTGTGGATACATGGGGAGTGTGGATACATGGGGAGTGTGGAGACATGGGGAGTGGGGAGACATGGGGAGTGTGGAGACATGGGGAGTGTGGAGACATGGGGAGTGTGGGGACATGGGGAGTGTGGATACATGGGGAGTGTGGAGACATGGGGAGTGTGGAGACATGGGGAGTGTGGAGACATGGGGAGTGTGGAGACATGGGGAGTGTGGAGACATGGGGAGTGTGGGGACATGGGAGTGTGGATACATGGGGAGTGTGGAGACATGGGGAGTGTGGGGACATGGGGAGTGTGGGGACATGGGGAGTGTGGAGACATGGGGAGTGTGGAGACATGGGGAGTGTGGGGACATGGGAGTGTGGATACATGGGAGTGTGGATACATGGGGAGTGGGAAGACACGGGGAGTGTGGATACATGGGGAGTGTGGATACATGGGGAGTGTGGATACATGGGGAGTGTGGAGACATGGGGAGTGGGGAGACATGGGGAGTGTGGAGACATGGGGAATGTGGATACATGGGGAGTGTGGATACATGGGGAGTGTGGATACATGGGGAGTGTGGAGACATGGGGAGTGGGGAGACATGAGGAGTGTGGAGACATGGGGAATGTGGAGACACGGGGAGTAGGAAGACATGGGGAGTGTGAAGACATGGGGAGTGTGGAGACACGGGGAGTAGGAAGACATGGGGAGTGTGAAGACATGGGGAGTGTGAAGACATGGGGAGTGTGAAGACATGGGGAGTGTGGATACATGGGGAGTGTGGAGACATGGGGAGTGGGGAGACATGGGGAGTGTGGAGACATGGGGAGTGTGGATACATTGGGAGTGTGAAGACATGGGGAGTGTGAAGACATGGGGAGTGTGAAGACATGGGGAATGTGAAGACATGGGGAGTGTGAAGACATGGGGAGTGTGAAGGCACGGGGAGTGTGAAGACATGGGGAGTGTGAAGACATGGGGAGTGTGAAGACATGGGGAGTGAGAAGACATGGGGAGTGTGAAGACATGGGGAGTGTGAAGACATGGGGAGTGAGAAGACATGGGGAGTGAGAAGACATGGGGAGTAAGAAGACATGGGGAGTGTGAAGACATGGGGAGTGAGAAGACATGGGGAGTGAGAAGACATGGGGAGTGAGAAGACATGGGGAGTGTGAAGACATGGGGAGTGAGAAGACATGGGGAGTGTGAAGACATGGGGAGTGTGAAGACATGGGGAGTGAGAAGACATGGGGAGTGAGAAGACATGGGGAGTGAGAAGACATGGGGAGTGTGAAGACATGGGGAGTGAGAAGACATGGGGAGTGAGAAGACATGGGGAGTGAGAAGACATGGGGAGTGAGAAGACATGGGGAGTGTGAAGACATGGGGAGTGAGAAGACATGGGGAGTGTGAAGACATGGGGAGTGGGAAGTTAAGGACGTGTGAGAGTGAGAAGAGGAGTGGTAAGGAGGTCCAAGAAGGAAAGAGTACAATAAAGTAACGCGGGGAACACCCTCGCTACTCTTAATTCCCAGTGAGGGACCAAGAGGCAGTAGGAGGGGGGAAGGAAGTGACCGAACTTGGGAGATGAGAGATGGCGGCCCAAGGAGTTAACAGCTCTTATATGAGGTGAGAATTGTGGAGGTTCAGCAGCCTAGCGCGGGCTGGCCCGCCCTACCACACACACACTCCACACCCGCCACTCCACATTGTATAATGATCATCTGTCTAAATTGAGTATTAGAGGTGGGGTTATCGGGATGGGTTGATGAGAAAGGCGTCAAAATGGTGGTGGAGACAGTGAGAGAGGTCGCCACTGCCCCCCCACCTCTTAAACACAGCAGCTGACGCATGCGCACACAACGCCAACCGGCTATATCGGCACCTCCACTACCTCTTAACTAAACCATATGGCACACTCTCTACTGTTTTCAGCTTCACTTCAGGTGCACATCACACACACACACACACACATCTTGTGTTTTATCTTCGTAGTGGCGCTGGATTTCGTTGTTGTCTCGTTTGCAATTACGAGTTGTGTGGCCGAGCTGAGCGGACAGCGAGGTGGTGCTCAGTGTCTCTCTCGCTCCTATACACTCTTTTCTGTCTAATTGAGACAGTGATATGTGTTGGTGGTGATTGCTAGAGGCACTCTAGCATGGGTGCTATGTGCCTAGGAAGCCTGACAGGCACCTTTTTAGTGAAATAAAACACCATAATAATATCCATGACAGATATCACGAATATAAAATTGCCCCGAAAATCCATACGTGACACCCTTTCTCTGCGTGTTTTGCTCAAGCCTAAAATATATTATATTTTGTGTCATGTGTCTGTAAATAAGAGTGAGAGAAGTAATATATATTGAGTTGTGTCGGTGGGAGAGGGTTTTAGCGTAGTCGTCCCTGCAGAGACTACCCTGGGTGCGCCCTCATGAAGCTAGCCACACTCACGGGCATTTTCTCCTCTTATTTCCCAAATTAGTGAGGCATACTCACACCAGAAATGTTCTATGACGGAGGATGGGACCCTCTGCACGCTTCTTTCACTCTGCTATACACAGGGAACTTCCAAGAGGAACTTTAGCACTAAAAGCATAGCATGACAGGAACATCAAAAAACGATGTTAGATGATGAAATTTATGCTAAGTGTCTGCACATATTTATATCGCACTCCTGTACGCCATTCTCAGCCCACACCTCGCACTGACCCTCTCCATCGCCGCAATTGCTATAAAAAACGACTCTCCTCCGGCTATGTGGCATTAGTGGAGAGTTAGTATGGGAGTTGTGACGGTTGGTGGCAGCCGGGGCGACCCACGTGGTGACGTCATGGTCACGTGGTACCAATGGAGAACACGCAGGCGGAGCTCCCAGCCCCGGACACACTCTCCCAGCCTCACCACACACACGTGTGTGATTTACCACTCCCACTCTCTGAGGAGCCCACATGAGTAGTCAAGGTAAGTGCTCTTCTAGTCTGGGGTCTTAAAATGGAGGAAAAAATGGAGAGTGTAGTCCCGGGTGTCGGGAATATTGACAAAAGTAGTGTAGCCGGAGAGTTTGTGTGTGTGTGTGTGTGTGCGCGCGTGTGCTGGTGTGTTTGTGTGTGTGTGTGTGTGGTGCGCCCCAGCAATCTGGCCTGGTGTTCTTATCTGTGTTCAACTGTTTATAGTATGTCATATGTTGATACGGTCTCACTTGTCCTGTGTAGGGGGGGTAGGGGGTGGTGATGGGTGGACGGCGGCAGTTTTGTAGTTAGTAACAATGTATAGGGACACCCCCTACACACACACACACACACACACAAGTTGCTGTGTGTGTGTGTGTGTGTGGTGTGGGGGGGGACAGCCAGTCAACGCTCGCCTTACTTCGGGGACGGACGGTACATCTATCCTCGCTCTACCCCCCCCAACATTTCCGTTCCTCTCAATTCCCCATCCACCTCTACTCTCTCTCTCTCTCTCTCCTCCTCCACCTGTTGTCTTCACCCCTCCCTCGTGACCTGACCAGCTCCCCCCTACACTCTGGGGACACACAGTGGACAGGAACCTGGAGCCTCGATGGTTGGCCAGTGGTGGGAGTCTTAACTCCGGGGCTGGTATTGTTAGCCAGGTGGACTGCTGCTTCTATCTTGCTCCCGTAGAACACTTGTTTAACACTCTACACACAGGTGAGTCTTCTTAGTGTGTGTGTGCGTGTGTGGGCAGTGGTGATGGCTCTCTCTAATGTGGCTGAGAATATCTTTGTATTTTAATGTATTACGGCTCTTGTCTCCCCAATCCTGTATGTGCAGGTAACATTGTGTCTGAGTGGATCACTTCTGCCATTAACGTAAGTATACTCAACTATATTTATACAGTACTCTAGTATATTTGTGTGTATTACTGATATTTGTATTCGTGCATTATTCCAGGGTATGTGTGTGTGTGTGTGTGTGTACTCACCAAGCCACGTTGGCTAGATGTTGAGCTCTAGTTATTGGCCGTAATCTAGGCGAATTCAGTCATATCAACTTTGTATGAAGTTCCGTTTCAGAAAACCTTGGCATGAAACGTTGATTCGCTTCCATTTCACGTGGTCTTGGCCTCTTTTGATATAACGTATCAACACTTCATATCTCTTGAGTATCGTTGACGTTGTGATCGTGTCCCCTCTTGTTCCAATCACATATATACTCCATGTCACAGTCATTTCTCGTAACGTTTATAGTGTATAAGGGGGGGGGGAACTTCAGTGTACTGTTTTTGTTTGAATCTCCAGAGTATTTGTATATGTGGGGTCCCTATTGTATTTGTGTTGGGTCCCTATTGTATTTGTGGGTGTGGGGTCCCCAGTGTATTTGTGTGTGGGGTCCCCAGTGTATTTGTGTGGTCCCCAGTGTATTTGTATGTGTGTGGTCCCCAGTGTATTTGTATGTGTGTGGTCCCCAGTGTATTTGTATGTGTGTGGTCCCCAGTGTATTTGTATGTGTGTGGTCCCCAGTGTATTTGTATGTGTGTGGTCCCCAGTGTATTTGTGTGTGTGGGGGGTCTCTTAAGTGTATTTGTGTGTGTGGTCCCCAGTGTATTTGTGTGTGGGGTCCCTAGTGTATTTGTGTGTGGGGTCCCCAGTGTATATGTGTGGAGTCCCTAGCGTATTTGTGTGTAGGGTCCCTATTGTATTTGCGTGTGTGGGGTTCCTAGTGTATTTGTGTGTGGGGTCCCCTAGTGTATTAGTGTGTGGGGTCCGTGTATTTGTATGGGGTCCCTATTGTATTTGCGTGCGTGGGGTCCCTAGTGTATTTGTCTGTGGGGTCCCTAGTGTATTTGTGTGTGTGGGGTTCCAGTGTATTTTTGTGTGGGGTTCCAGTGTATTTGTGTGTGGGTCCCCAGTGTATTTGCGTGTGCGCGAGTCCCCGGTGTATTTGCGTGTGTGCGAGTCCCCGGTGTATTTGCGTGTGTGAGTCCCCCAGTGTATTTGCGTGTGCGCGAGTCCCCGGTGTATTTGCGTGTGTGCGAGTCCCCGGTGTATTTGCGTGTGTGAGTCCCCCAGTGTATTTGCGTGTGTGCGAGTCCCCGATGTATTTGGGTGTGTGCGAGTCCCCGGTGTATTATATACACACCGTGTATGCGAGTCCTTAGTGAATTTGTGTGTGTGAGTTCCCGATGAATTTGTATGTCTACAGTGTATTTGTGTGAGTCTAGTGTATTTGTGAGTAGTGTATTTGTGCGAGTGTCTAGTGTATTTGTGTGTGTGAGTCTGGTGTATTTGTGTGTGAGTTTCTCTGGTGTATTTGTGTGCCTATTGACAACGGAGAATCTTGTTGTTTATACACCAACTACATGTTTTTTTGTTCCTGGTGCCTATTTTGCAAGCCCTCCTGTGTTTCAAGTTCTTTGTCGGAACTGCTCTATTGAAATTGTTGATGGGGGTGGCTTCTTTTCTTCCTCTATCAATACATTCCCCCTACTGACCATCCTTATAGTCTTAGTTTAAATGATTTATTTTGGACCCTTTTACGAATCCTGCGAGCGGTGACCCTATTACAGTTACATAATGGTAAGTTACATAATGGGTTCAGGACTCGACTCCCTTGAAAGAAAATTTGGGTGCCTACATTTCTTAAAAATAATTTGCGTTTACAGCTTCCACCTATGGCCTTTTGTCCCAGTTTCTCTCAATTCAGGTCCCCACGATATTTTGTATATATATATATATATATATATATATATATATATATATATATATATATATATTGATAATAAGTAATATCCTCGTCTTCTAATTGTGATTTTCAGTTCCCGTGTGCCTATTTTAAAACCACTTCACTTTAGATTTGGTTGGGGCTTTACGAGGTACGGATTTAATACATGTCGTGCATTCTGGTAGTGGCCTTACATAGGCTGTGGAGATTGTCTTGAAAAGGGGTTTTCTAATTTTGTAAACGCCGGTCATGTTTTGCCAGTTTCACATGTGTGGCCGATGCCACTATCCCTAGATACAGCTTGCTTTCTATTAAACGAATTTTCAAACTAAACGAATTTTCAAACCTACCTAACAGACCTCAACCAAGCCTAATCATTTAAAGTTTTAAACTGTTAGAAAAACGGGCTTCGTGGAAGCACCTTTGTATGATTTGAGTGAACACGGCGGATTGCCGAAATTATATCCCCTCCCGCAGTCTCTTTTGTTCTTACTGCCTTATTCCTATAGTGTAGACTGTTCCTAGTCTTTTTTCTCCACATACTATCAACATTACGCTATCTTATACTTTTCTGGGGATGAAGTATAAGTGGTAATTGTCCCACGACCGAGCCTCGTTACATTGAACTCTTCCCCCCCCCCCATCCCATCAGGCTTCTGATCTGTTGCATTATAACTATTGCGTTATAACTATTCGGACGTTCGAAGTTCATTGTCTAATCTGGCCTTAAAGTTGTGGATGGAGGCGAGTTACGCAATTTCTTTAGCACATTTGCGATTCAAGCTTCCAAGCCTCTCGTTCCACTGTTTCAATTCAAAGAGGTTGTTCTTTTCTACCTTGTCTTTTCCCCTTTGTTTCTCTTGTCCTCCAGAGTTATGGGATCTAGTTCCATTAATCTAGCCTCACAACTTAATCGTAGCTCTGGCAGTAATCTTGTTGCAAACCTTTGTACCATTTACATTGTGGTTTCATGCTTCACAAGGTGCAGATTCCAGGCCGGCTCTGCACATTCCATTATTGATGTAACAAAGACTATATAGATTGTTGTGTTAACAGTGAGTGTGTGAGAGAGAGAGAGCAGTGTTTAGTATTATTGTCCGTACGTGTTAACTGCGTAAATATTCAAGTAGGAAAATGAAACTAAAATTCCGAACGTTTCTGTGTTTCAACACATTAACAAGACAAATTGGTTAATAAAGATTAAGCCACCTAAGAGGTGACACGGGCATGAATAGCCCGTAAAGTCAAGGCAGGTGATTGATTGATAAAGATTAAGCCACCCAAAAGGTGGCACGGGCATGAATAGCAAGTAAGGTATAGACAGATGAGTTTAAGATTATATACCCCACTACACCTGAGTAGATAAAGATCGATATTCGATATTTGTTTATGAAACTTATTTACTCAGGTGTAGTGGGGTATATAATCCCAAACCCATGTGTTCTCTCTGTATTCATTGATAATGTGTTGAAACACGAAAACATTGGGAATTTTCGTTTTTCCTACATGGATACTTACGCATAACCGTATCACGTGATTTTTGTGAATATTCTTGTGCGTGTTATTAAGTCTTTACCAGTCTCCGTGGTGTAGTGGTAAGATACTCACCTAGCGTTCCGCGAGCGCTATGTCATGGGTTCGTATCCTGGCCGTGGAGGATTTACTGGGCGAAAATCCTTAACTGTAGCCTCTGTTTAACTCAACAGTAAAATGTGTACTTGGTTGAAAAAACGATTCTTCGCGGCGGGGAACGTATTCCAGGGACCTGCCCGAAACGCTACGCGTACTAGTGACTGTACAAGAATGTAACAACTCTTGTATATATCTAAAAAAAAAAAAAAAAAAAAAAAAAAAAAACCCAGTGTATTTGTCTCGAGTGTTCGCCCCTTTGTGTAGAGGGTAGTGAGCGCATGCGTGCTCAGGAGGGAGCGTGGCGCAGCTCAGAGCCTCGTGTTAGACCTAGGCTGATTTCAGCCATATTTGTTCGCGCTGTGTAATTGGACCCAACGTGAAACATTTGTCTTTTTTTATCATAGTCAATTCAAACGATACCTGTTAGCGATTTGGAGAGTTGTTCTGCTCTAGCAGCCTGGCCCGTGGCCAGCCTTTTTTAAGGGAGTCTCGGTAGTTCAGTTGGTTCCGTTCTCGATTCACAATCTGGAATTCAGAGTTTGAATGCAGGGCGGGACAAAAATTGTTGGGCACATTTCCTATGACCCCAGTGCCTCTGTTCACATAACGGTCAATAGATACCAGGAGTTAGTCAGTTTGTGGGGCTGCATCGGGTTGAGGGTCATTAGTTCGACCTTGAGCTAATCTCGATAAAAGTCTGCCCCTGACAAAATTAATTATATGCGAGGCTGTTTGTCTTAGTAGCCCGAAGACAAGTAATAGTCTTAGTAGCTTGTTGCCATAGCTACCAACAGCCAGGTTGATCTGCTAACTTCAGAAGTATCTTGTCCAGTTTTCTATTGAAAGCCTCCACTATTCCAACGGCAATTTTGTTATAGGTCACCTATCGGCAAATAGTGAACCAGCTCCAATCGAATGGCATTGCAGGATCATATACAGTAATGAGTTCAGGAACTGAAACCCAATATTCTTTTCACAGGCGATTGTTTCTGGGTTTGATTCTAGGACAAAGCGAGACGTTTGAGTACGTTGCTTTAAACCCAAGTGCCGCTGGGTGAACACCCAGTATGTTCTTGTTGAACTGTTATGGTTTGTATCCTGTGGGGTATGGCTAGTCATTGGCTAGGGGGAGTCCTTGATAAGCCTGGCAGGTTTCCTGGCCCCGACCTGGGGAGACCAAACAGAACGTTGATCATGGCTCGACGCGAATCGATGGAACGTGGTTAGGCTGTGGTGGAAGACGCCAGTCAACCATCCTTCGACGTTTTGGAACCATTGTTGGTAAATATTGCTTAAATTGTCTGCCCGGGTTTAGTTAGCTTGTCACGTGTGGGATGGAGGGGAGGGGGTTAGTTGGGTCTGGAAGCATCTTTGATGAATTTTGTTGTATATAATTGACAGTGCACGTCTTTTAGGTTAATGTCCGTGATGTATGTTAGCAACTTTATCGTAGTTTAGGCTTTCACACGACGGGAAGTGGTTTACCGTATACGTAGGCTTCAATATCAGTCAGACCTCAAGTTATGGAAACGTCTTTCATCTACCGGCTTTTCCAGAAAACACTTTTTTTTCATTATCACAAAGTCGTCATAATGAGTGTCTTGTGCTGACCTAATTATGCTTGCGATGGTTGAATTTCAGCTTTTGGGTCTGCCTTTCAGACTTCAATCAACTGGTGGTACAGGTTTCTGGTCTACTGGGTTATCATTTGTATACTTGGAACTGCCTCTGTGGCTCATTGTGTACTTTCCGTCCCCTGTCAAAATTTGTCGCTTCCCCTTAGAATTTTGTATGTACAGGTAGTAATTGTCTCCCCCTAACCACCTTACTGTCTTCCAGTGACCTGAGGCTTAATTCCCATAATCACAATACTTAAATCTTGCTTTTTGGTTCTGGAGTTAGTTGAATGACATCCCCTGGAATTTCTCAAGTTTCATGTGTTGTATATAAGTTTTGGAATGATTACTTATTCAGATTGCTAGTCAGTTCCTATGTTGGCTATGCTACCATATGTCACCAGTTTGATGTGTGCTTCAAAAGACAAGCTTGATATATAAATCCTGTTGTCTTTCACTCTGCCTGATTTTTCAAGGCTTTTCTCTTCCAGTTGGTTCCTTATGTCTGGCTTCCTGTTTCCAGCACCAAGCTTCATTTCCTTGCACTTGCTTGAGTTAAACACTTGTAGCCACTTGTTGGATCATACATTTAGTTTGACCTGGTATCTTAGTGTATGTTTATATAAATATATTTTGATGTCATCCGTATTAAACAACTATATAATATGTATAAATTAATTACAGTTCATTGTTGCCTTCGACCTCATTCTGACAGTAGCTGCGGCGGCACTGGAACCAATTGTATTGGCATTTGCTTTTCCATTGGAGACTTTTGGCTCCATGGAGAGGGGGGAACCTGCTGCATGGGAGACAGCTTCTCCCCTGCATCAACCTACCCTGGCTTTGTGCCCTGGAGAGGCCACTTCAGACCGACAGAGTGCAACTCCATAGTCTCCTGCGACTGATGGATGCCTACTACTACTGCACATGTACAGACACGTACTGCACATGTACAGACACGTACTGCATATGTACAGACACATAGTGCACATGTACAGAAACATACTGCACATGCCTTGTATGGGCCAATAGGCCTTCTGCAGTTACCTATGTTCTTATGTACAGACACGTACTGCACATGTACAGATGCGTACTGCACACGTACTGCATACATACAGACACGTACTGCACACGTACAGACACGTACTGCACACATACAGACACATACTGCACACGTACAGACACGTACTGCACACGTACAGACACGTACTGCACACGTACAGACACGTACTGCACACGTACAGACACGTACTGCACACGTACAGACACGTACTGCACACGTACAGACACGTACTGGACACGTACTGCACACGTACTGGACACGTACTGGACACATACTGCACACGTACTGCACACGTACAGACACGTACTGCACACGTACAGACACGTACTGCACACTTACAGACACGTGCTGCATATGTACAGACAGTGGCTGTTGATACATGGCTTGGTTTGGTTGATATATAATGTCTCACCAATGACCAGTATTCTGTTGCCACTGTATTTGTTGATTATTTTGGTGTTTGTTAGGATGTCTCTGGTGATCTGGTTATGTGTAGAGACTACATATTCCTTAATAGGACCATACCTTGAGGTTACCTTGAGGTTACCTTGAGGTGCTTCCGGGGCTTAGCGCACCTAGTATTAACCTTTGTAGGTATCTACTGATTTGTTAACCTAAACTTTGGGATCATACCTGCCTGAAAAGAATAAACAACTTTTTTCCAAATTTTAAACATTTTTGTTGTTTATGAACATAAATTTTTCTGTTTGAACCGGGTTGTTGGAAATATTGATCATAAATATTTTCTCAAAATATAAAATTTTTGAATATTACATGTCATTGTAATAATATAGTGTATGTAGATGATCCTGTGAGTTTTGAATGCCATTTATAACGATGAAGGAAATGGAGGGCTTATAATGCAACTGTCAGAATATGGGCAACTTTATTATAGCTGTGTCAGCAAGGCGGACAGCCCGCCTGCTTTCATACCTCTCACTGTATTTCCCACTTCTATACTTCCCTTCACCTATGCCTCTCCTTCCTCTTTACTCAAAAAAAAAAAAAAAGAAAAAAAAAATTATAGCTGCCACATTCACCTGTGACATATCACACAAAACCACTGTAACTATATACTGCTGTTATAACTACATGCAATGCAACAATCACCACCACATAAGGAAAACAGTAGTTAATCCTTACTCAAGAATTTATAGTTTACCCTTGTAAATGGCAAAAAATTGCTTTACAAGTGCCGAGAGTTAAAACTAAACAAACGGGGAGAATGTTAAAATATTGTCGTTTATCATAGCGTTGCTCATTTATATTCATGCTCGGAAATTAAATTACCACTCTGGTGAAAATGTGTATACACTGTAACATCAACCTTGATTTGACACAACATACAAAGTACAAAGTGCTAACCTAACCAGAAATGAACGAACCCAAGCATCCCACCTAACCTAACCTTCCGATGCTTAGAAAATGCAGATATTTGCGAGCCACCATAGTACTTCTGTACTGTACTTTGTAATTTGTACACTGGAGACTATAAGCATAGTCTCCAGTGTACATACTAAATGAGACATGCTAGTTGAGAGGACGGGTTAGTGGCACAATGAACACTCATTGCTTCCAGAGGAATTATTGTGCTGTGTATTTTCACTAAAATTTCTTCTCTAATATTAGTAATCACTATAATCTAATATTTTTTCTATGAAAATAACATCACTGTATTTACATATTGACAAATGTAAAAAAAAAAAAAAAGAAAAAAATCCTTTGGGGGGAAGGGTTACATTATCCGTTATGGTTATACTGTATAATATATTACTGTATACTTTATCAAAGAAAGTGGATTTTTCCTTCAGTAAGCTATTTGAGCTCCAACCCTTCATAATCTGCATTCTGTAAACATCTCATTATGGTTTCCCATTTTTGGAGATACGAAGCTTGTTAGACTTGTCAAACACCCCTTAGGCCAGTGACTGACTTTCACCATGACGCAACTTACAACTGTCACCTAATTTGTGGATACATATTTACTGCTAGGTGAATGGAAGCACAGTATTCAGTGTTCAGAAACGTGGCTGTCAGAAAGTTCTTCGCAAGAGGCTAGTATAAGATACTGTATAGAGAAAGATGGATTACAGGAAAGAAACTGAACTGGATAAGAGGACTAATGCCTGAAAGATAGGAAACAGGTCACCGTCAAAGATTCGAGTCGGCATGTTCAGCCAGACCAGGTTCAGAGGGAGCACAATGCAAGCAAAGTGGAGATGGCCTAGGAGTTGCTCAAGATCACCATGAGAAGTGGTACTTAACAAGAACGATATGGAGATTAAAAGCAAGTGAAGCCAATAATGTTTCCTGCAGTATGGAAATTTAATTCATATTGGAGTCCCAGATGAACACCAGCCATGTCAGATCTGCAATGGAAAGAGCTGAGAATTTGGCATGTTCACCGAAAAGCATAATATGCCTAATATAGTGAATAAATCCACAAGGGCCGTGACGAGGGTTCGAACCTACGTCCGAGAGGATCCCTGGCGCTGCCTTAATCGACTAACAGCGATTGGTAAATCAGGATGATTTCCCAGTTGCAATTCTTTTGCAATTATCTGTGCAGCATCTGGGATCCTCTCGGACGTAGATTCGAACCCCTGTCACGGCCCTTTGTCATATGGAACAACAGCAACGCTGGAACAAGTGTACAGTGGCATAACAGGTTTGTCATATGGTTAGACCACAAGCAGTAACAGGTGTGTGTTTTCCTTGTTTTCCTCTCCAAGAAAAACAAAGGAATACCTTTTACCTAAGTGCAGTAAAAATACTTCTTCAACATGAAGGATGAGAATACATGGAAGGAGACTTGCTGCTTCAGCCTCAAGAGGGCAAAATGGTGCATGTAATTCTCCATGTAACGTGTTGTGAGCCACTTCTGTCTCTTGATGGTGCATGCATTTATTATTATTTGCCTTGGAGTTTTCCTTTAGTTATCATAAGTGTCTTTCTGTTATTTCAGTATTTATGGACACTATAATATTTTGTTTTTTTCAGAGAATAGAGTGGTTGGTGTTAAAGAAGTGAGCATCAGTAGCTTCCTTAGTGTTTTACTTCAGTGTTTTCCCCCCCACTTTCTGCATCCCTATTTCAAGATGTTATACTACATTCCAAAATATACCGTGGCATTTTATAATGTTACCTTATTGTTACATGCATTCTTTTTACTCTGTGGTTTCATATTGCAAGTAAATCATAATTAGCTCCTTTAGTAAGTGATAACATACCAAGATGCATATATATTCAATACAGTATACGTGTCATATCATATTGTTGATTTCCAGGCATGAAGGTTTGAGGATGGTCATAGCAGCTGAAATAATTTATCAAGATTCAGCATATGTTCTTTTCTATGAAGGCAGGAAAGCCTTGCATGGTATGAGATGATGTTTCATAGTATGCATGTTTTTTTTTGTTTTTACAGTAAATTCATTGCTGGCCTGCTCTTTTATTTAAATGTAAATTTTGTGCTTGTTAGTTTCTCATGGAATATGCTGTACAGTATACTATATCTATTGCTTGATAATTTAATTATTTGTTTCCTGTTATATTACTGGAATCTATGATTTTGCTTATTTTTATTTAAAGAGGGCCACCCATATTGCTGGTGATACAATGCAGTCATTATAGGTTACTTCATTCATATCTTTCAGGTTTTGGTTGAGTTCACCGTGGAGAAATAAATAATGGAGTTTAGTGACTCAGAAACTATCTTAAATTTCCTTGAGCAAAACTCTCAAATATCAAGTGAAGATGTTTTGGTAAATGCAGAGGCTGGAATGGTTTGTAATTCCCTCAACTTAAAGGTGGAGGATGATGATGACAACCGCTTAGAGACATCCGAAACTCTTCTTGATAACCTTATCTTTAGTGTGTGTAGCGAGCAGGTTCCCACATCAACCAATAATGCAGAGAACAGCAGTAAAATTACTGAAGCCAAATATGACACAAAGAAAGCTGCTGCATCGAAGGTTGGCAGTGAGCCATCAAGGTTTCCCTTTCAGTTAAGTGAGAGTATGAAGAAAGGGCTCTCCCTTCTGACCTTTCCCTCTAAAAGAACCAACTCTCAAAAAAAGATTAGGAAATCATCACGAGCCATATCAAGTTCTCGAATCACAATAGGCGAAGCTCTAGAAAAAGCAGAGAATGCAAGACAAAGTATTTCCATCATTTTAAAGGAAGCACGTGAAGCAGAGAATGTGGGTGGAAGCATCCTAACAGATCCTGCAACACAACCACTTCCCGTGGGCAGTTCTGCTTCAGTTGGGCCAAAACATGAAGGGAAAATTAAGATTGAAATAGGGGAGGAGACAAGTCTTACTGGGGAAACTAGCATAGACACCAAAATTACAGATGGGGAGAAAGAAAATGTAAGAAATGCCTCCGAAATACCAGTCCAAAGTGAACCAGCCTCGTTACTTGAAGATTCTCATAATGACCAGCACGTTAACTTGGAAGGCTCATGCATGCAAGGTAGGATGATTGAAGTTTTTTTTTTTTATTATTATTATTTTCTACCACAGACGTGGCCACAAATTTACGGTGCTAACCAGCATATATTGAAGTGTGTACTGACGATTTTGTTAACCTGATAATATCAGCAGTTACTGATCTAAATTAAAAATTTTGTTTATAAATGTATTGCAACTTACTTTGAAGGATTAAAAAAATATTCAGATATTGTTTTAAAAAGAGGCAGAGAAGGTAAGAAATGGTAAATGGTAATAAGATGGTAAAGAAATGCAAGACTAATAATCTAGAAGAGAGAGATGGGGCAAGTGGAAGCATCAACACAACAGCAACGCCGGAACAAGTGTACAGTGGTATAACAGGTTTGTCATATGGTTATCTTGAGATGATTTCGGGGCTTTAGTGTCCCCGCGGCCCGGTCCTCGACCAGGCCTCCACCCCCAGGAAGCAGCCCGTGACAGCTGACTAACACCCAGGTACCTATTTTACTGCTATATGGTTAGACCACAAGCAGTAACAGGTGTGTGTGTCACATGGTTAGACATGCAATAAACAGGTGTCATTTGCTTCAACCACACACACACACACACTGGTGTCTAAATATATTAAGATAAACATCCATAATATTTGACAAAAGTTGTAGCACTAATCCTTTTAAGGTTATTCATTCAGTGTAATGCACTCTAGGGAAATTTATTAAGTCACCTAAATTCTCTAGGGAGCAAGTGGGAGACCTGAGGAATGTGAAGGAGCTCTGGGGAATGTAAGGAAGCTCTGGGGAATGTGGGGGAGCTCTGGGGAATGCGAGGGAGCTCTGGGGAATGTGGGGGAGCTCTGGGGAATGCAGGGGAATGTGAAGGAGAGCTGGTGAATCTAAGGGAGCCCTGGGGAACTTAAGGGAGCCCTGGGGAACATATGGCAGCCCTGGGGAACATAAGGGAGCCCTGGGGAACATAAGGGAGCCCTGGGGAACATAAGGGAGCCCTGGGGAACACAAGGGAGCCCTGAGGAACATAAGGGAGCCCTGGGGAACATAAGGGAACCCTGGGGAACATATGGCAGCCCTGGGGAACATAATGGAGCCCTGGGGAACATAGGGGAGCCCTGGGGAACATAGGGGAGCCCTGGGGAACATAGGGGAGCCCTGAGGAACATATGGGAGCCCTGAGGAACATAAGGCAGCCCTGGGGAACATAAGACAGCCCTGGGGACCATATGGCAGCCCTGGGGAACATATGGCAGCCCTGGGGAACATATGGCAGCCATGGGGAACATAAGGGAGCCCTGGGGAACATAAGGGAGCCCTGGGGAACATAAGGGAGTCTGGGGAACATAAGGAAGCCCTGCGGAACATAAGGCAGCCCTGGGAAACACAAGGGAACCCAGGGGAACATAAGGGAGCCCTGGGGAACATAAGGGAGCCCTGGGGAACATAAGGGAGCCCTGGGGAACATGAGGGAGCCCTGGGGAACATGAGGGAGCCCTGGGGAACATAAGGGAGCCCTGGGGAACATAAGGGAGCCCTGGGGAACATAAGGGAGCCCTGGGGAACATAAGGGAGCCCTGGGGAACATAAGGGAGCCCTGGGGAACATAAGGCAGCCCTGGGGAACATATGGCAGCCCTGCAGAACATAAGGCAGCCCTGGGGAACATATGGCAGCCCTGGGGAACATATGGCAGCCCTGGGGAACATAAGGGAGCCCTGGGAAACCTAATGGAGCCCTGGGGATTATAAGGGAGCCCAGGGGAACATATGGCAGCCATGGGGAACATAAGGGAGCCCTGGGGAACATAAGGGAGCCCTGGGGAACATAAGGGAGCCCTGGGAAACCTAATGGAGCCCTGGGGATTATAAGGGAGCCCAGGGGAACATATGGCAGCCCTGGGGAACATATGGCAGCCCTGGGGAACATATGGCAGCCCTGGGGAACATATGGCAGCCCTGGGGAACATATGGCAGCCCTGGGGAACATATGGCAGCCCTGGGAACATAAGGCAGCCCTGGGGAACATAAGGGAGCCCTGGGGAACATAAAGGATCCCTGGGGAACATAAAGGAGCCCTGGGGAACATAAAGGAGCCCTGGGGAACATAAGGGAGCCCTGGGGAACATAAGGGAGCCCTGGGGAACATAAGCGAGCCCTGGGGAACATAAGGGAGCCCTGGGGAACATAAGGGAGCCCTGGGGAACATAAGGGAGCCCTGGGGAACATAAGGGAGCCCTGGGGAACATAAGGGAGCCCTGGAGAACATAAGGGAGCCCTGGGGAACATAAGGGAGCCCTGGGGAACACAAGGGAGCCCTGGGGAACATAAGGGAGCCCTGGGGAACAAAAGGGAGCCCTGGGGAACATAAGGGAGCCCTGGGGAACATAAGGAAGCCCTGGAGAACATAAGGGAGCCCTGGGGAACATAAGGGAGCCCTGGGGAACACAAGGGAGCCCTGGGGAACATAAGGGAGCCCTAGGGAACATAAGGGAGTCCTGGGGAACATAATGGAGCCCTGGGGAACATAATGGAGCCCTGGGGAACATAAGGGAACCCTGGAGCCCCGGAGAACATATGGCAGCCCTGGGGAACATAAGGGAACCCTGGGGAACATAAGGGAGCCCTGGGGAACATAAGGGAGCCCTGGGGAACATAATGGTGCCTGGGGAACATATGGCAGCCCTGGGGAACATATGGCAGCCCTGGGGAACATATGGCAGCCCTGGGGAACATATGGCAGCCCTGGGGAACATATGGCAGCCCTGGGGAACATATGGCAGCCCTGGGGAACATATGGCAGCCCTGGGGAACATATGGCAGCCCTGGGGAACATATGGCAGCCCTGGGGAACATATGGCAGCCCTGGGGAACATATGGCAGCCCTGGGGAACATATGGCAGCCCTGGGGAACATATGGCAGCCCTGGGGAACATATGGCAGCCCTGGGGAACATATGGCAGCCCTGGGGAACATATGGCAGCCCTGGGGAACATAATCGAGCCCTGGGGAACATAAGCGAGCCCTGGGGAACATAAGCGAGCCCTGGGGAACATAAGGGAGCCCTGGGGAACATAAGGGGAACCCTGGGGAACATAAGGGGAACCCTGGGGAGTATAAGGGAGCCCCAGGGAACATAAGGGAGCCCTGGGGAGCATAAGGAAGCACTGGGGAACTTAGAGCCCTGAGGAACAAAAGCATGTTTTGGGGAACATCAAGGAACTAGGGGGGAACTCAGAGGAACTTTTAAGGGAAATGAGGGAGCCCTGTGGAACATGAGGGAACACTGGATTCATGTGAGGGAACACTGGATTCACGCGTGGGAACACTGGATTCACGCAACCTAGTGTTGGATTCATGCAAGGGAACGCTGAGCTTAGGTGACCACAAAGAGACTTTGTTTCCACATAGGGACTTACTTGCGTGACCAGAAAGGGATGGTTGATCATGGACTTGGGTGACCAGAAAGGGATGGTTGATCATGGACTTGGGTGACCAGAAAGGCATGGTTGATCATGGACTTGGGTGACCAGAAAGGGATGGTTGATCATGGACTTGGGTGACCAGAAAGGGATGGTTGATCATGGACTTGGGTGACCAGAAAGGGATGGTTGATCATGGACTTGGGTGAATATGGAGGGACCTTGTTGATCACCAGCCCATCCTGCTGTTGTGGTAGTACTGTACTTATATAACAATAAAGACCATAGTACATATACCGACGTACAACAGAATTAGAAAATAGAAATCTATTGAATTTGGACAAACCGGAAAACGATTTTCTACATATGTTGCAGAGACAAACTAAACTAACCTAACCTTCCTAGGCCTAATACACACACTGAGGCCTAATAGCACACATAGTACATGTGTGTATGCTAGACCTAGGAATATTTAAGTTTGTTTTTTAGCTTCATTTTTTTGGACTATAAAGTGAATAGTACAAAATTCAGCTAATTGCTTAGTATGTCAATGTTTATACTACTATGGTGCACATAGTTACAAAAAATACTATCTAAACAGGAGGGTGGGTTGTGACCCCGGAGTGACTCTGGTGACCCCGGAGTGACTCGGGTGACCCCGGAGTGACTTGGGTGACCCCGGAGTGACTCGGGTGACCCCAGAGTGACTCGGGTGACCCCGGAGTGACTCGGGTGACCATGGAGTGACCTGGTGACCACGGAGTGACTCGGGTGACCACTGGGTGATGATGGGGTGACTCGGGCGATGATGGGAGGAACTCTGGAAATGAGAGAGGGACTCTGGTGACGACGGAGGGACTTGGGTGACGACGGAGGGACTCGGGTGACGACGGAGGGACTCGGGTGACGACGGAGGGACTCGGGTGACGACGGAGGGACTCGGGTGACGACGGAGGGACTCGGGTGACGATGGAGGGACTTGGGTGACCATGGAGGAGCCTTGCTGACTGCCAAGGGACTTGGGTGATCATGAAAGAGCATCACTAAACATAAAGACATAATGAAGATAGTAAAGTAGCACGAACACTTGCAGTCCGTTTCTTTATCAACAAGTGTCATGGTACATGTATGCATCTATAAATACTTATACATCTTCATGTAGTATTTTTGGTGGGGTAGTGGGAGTGAATAGAGCCAATTGCATGTTTTACAAACAGTAATGTTTATTGTTCATTTCCTAATTATAAAACCAAAAGGAACAGGAATGGGGGGATAAAGCCTGTTTAATTCCTGTAGTGGCAAGATACAGTACAGTAAATTTATATTAGCCATTAGTGTAGAGTACAGTACATGGTACTGATCCTGTAATAACTATAATATGAGCTTTATATCAAGGGTAAGAATAATTGATAATAATTCATTGTGTTGGGGGACAGGCAGTCAGTATTAAATTAACACTTTCGCGCTATCTGAACGCGCCGGCGCGTCCGGTTTCGTCTAACGTAAACGCATAGTGGACATAAAGTTATGTCAACTTTTAAAATATTTGTATAAAATTCAATTTTTATCCGATTTACTTTGGGTTTGTTTTAAACTGCGCGCTATGAGGCTCTCTTTCTCACCACTAGGCTGCATGGTACAATAAGTTCATGAAAGGTGTGGATAACTTCGATCAAATGGTATTTTGTCCCAAACGGGTTGCAGGTGGGTGACTTTAGCCGTTTATACTGGTAATGCTTCCCCCATATCATGTATTATATGCATATGTCTGTTTAGGGAATTTTATTCCGATCAATATACAACCAAAAATAACTGTGTGCATCAAGTATAAACTTGACAAACATAACAAAAGTAAAAACATTTCGTGTGTGTTTGACGCTCACTGATATGTTCCAGCGTTGTTTTATATTTGGCGCTATTCTAACTTACGCTTTGTTGATATTTTTTACCTATGGGCACATAGAACATTCTATTGCGAACACATTGACGCAAAAATGAATGACGTACATAGAAAATTAATGTCATGAGAGTGAAATAAGTATAAACTTTCAAAGCGCCGTGCGTCGTCCCGTCACCGATACCGGGTAACAATTTCACCAGTTCCCACACTCTTGCGGGCGGGCCGCAATCATTATTCTACGCTTATATTCATATCACCGTGTTGGGAATTTCATTGCGAATCCATTGATACCAAAATTAACGCTGTAGAACAAGTGTGGAGGTGATTACAATCCCAAGAGTAAAAACATTTTGTTGCTGATGGGCGCTCATGGCGAGTCATCTTCGTAGTTATTTATTTGGTGCTGGTATCCCTATACGTTTCGTGACTTTTTTTACTGATGTTCTTCTAGAGAATTTTATTGCGAACACGTTGGTACCAAAATGAAATACGTAGCATGAGAACTAAGGTCAGAAGAGTAAAAAGAGTATACACATTTTTGTTTTTACGCTTAAGCGATAAAAACGCAGCGCGCACATTCGGTTGGCTGAGTGACCTTTGCGGAGAGCGCGAAAGTGTTAAATTAAATTTTTTATTCTGGAAAAGTACATACTCAGTACATAGTTGAGTTACAAACATAATGTTGGATTTATAGACAGAGCTAGTACATACAATACCTAAAGCCACTAATACGCATAGCGTTTTGGATAAACCCCCGAAACGTTTCGGCAAACGTTAACCAGTTTCAGGCAAACGTCGTTTATAGTATATACAAACGGTATGTGTTAGGCTTATATCGAGGGGTTACCCCCCCCCCCCCCCCCTTCTGGGTTGAATTACTGACCCTTCCCAGGATCCTTCCCCACAACAAGCTGACTAACTCCTGTGTATCTATTTGCTGCTAAGTGGACAGGGGCATTAGGTTATAGGAAATGCGCCCAACCATTTCTGTCCCGCCCATGATTCATACCCAGAGTTCTTGATAGTGAGTCGAGAACGAACCCGACTGTACTACCGGGACCCTAAATAATATAGTACAGTACTAACCATACTGTAGTGTTGGACAATGCTATACTGTAATGTTGCACAGTACTAATGTGTAGTATGACTATACAAGACGTTAAGGTTATGTGTAACTTTACGGCTGCTGTGTTAAACATTACTGGAATGTAACACATTTAATTTTATCTCTGAAATATTAGGCATCATTCAAGTTTCTTTATATTTTAGCACTGTAATATCTTTAAAGAACAAGGGATAATTATTACAATAATAAAATCTTATTACAACTACCAGTACAGTACTAGCAACATGTACGGGCCTGGTTTTAGTGTACATGACTCCAGATAAATTAGAAGAAGCTGAAAATATAATTAGATGTTACTCCAAAGTAAGTTTTAATGCAGCAACAAATTGAAGAGATGTTTAAGAATGGATCTGGGAAGGTGGTGCCCATATGCCGTACAGCATTTTGTTTGTTTTTCTTGTTAAGGACAGTTTTAAAAGCTTAATACTTACATTGATTTTTCAACATTAGCATATCCTGGAGGTGTGGGGAATTGTTCATGGCTCATGATATTTGTAGATGCCATTCTCAGTGCTCTAATTTTGATAATGCCAAGTACCAAAAACTAGCTCCTCGGGTAATACAGTACAGCTTCTTGCGAGTGACGAAAAAAGGTGCAAATTAACTTACTTTACAGACAGACACCTCTTTTTTAATTTGTCAAAAATTCTGTAGGTAAGAGAGAGGCAGTGGCAAGCAAGGGTAAATCCACTGCAACATCCAGACTTAAGCTGTCACCCAGAATGCGGGAGCTCCTGAAGTTTACCTTCGCACATGAACACTTCCCAACATCTGTCCACATGGCACGCCTGGCCAAAATGATGGGCGTGCAATGGGTGAGTGCCATCATTATCAACTTCAGCACCTTTTTCAACTTAGAGGGTAGGTTTTCTTTTAATTTGCTGCACACAGATGCTGTCATGTGTAGTCATTATTTTTATTTTTCTTCTTTCAAAAGTTTGCCCCCGAGCACAATTCTCTCGTATGCTACTCTTAAAAGTGCTAGCTTTAGAGATATTAAAAAAATTTAACTAATGGAAATTTTATGGACATCTTGCATTAAATATGGAAAAGGACTTATCAGAATATCACATACAGCAAGACCCTTCTCTCATTGAACACACAGGTAAATATAAATTAGCAGTGCTGTAACCTGTGTGATATCCTCTGATGTATACTGTATTGCATTACCTTCTAATGCACTTGTCACTGTATCGTACGCACAATCTATAGGGATCGTTGAGATCAAACTAAGTCATAGTAAGCTAAACGGTGTTGCATCTCCGAGCACTTGTCTGGTGCAGTAGTAAGAGAGACAAAGCATAGGGAAGGGGGGGGGGGGGCAGCCTTGCTGTTCTGTTCTCAATGGAGTTTTCAGAAGATAAAATGGCAGGGAGTAAATTATTCACAAGATTACATTATGGGAAGAATCTTGTGGTTAAAAAGCAATTGGTCATACCATTCATGTACTATTATGCTATTATGCAAAACATTTCAGGCAGTCAAGTGAATAATGATAGTATGGTGTCAGAGAAAGAAATAAGAAACACCAAGTAGGCCTGTATATATATCAAAAGTCTCATGGTGCAAGTTAAATATCTCCCTGATTACCAGAGATAGCAAAAGTAGTACTGTGGAAGTCACTGACGAGAGTGTACGACTACTCTAAAGAGATTGGAGAGATTCCAGAATTGTGGAAAATGGCAAACATGATACCAGTGTTTCAGAAAGAAGACTGGCAAGAAAATATTCGTGTATAGAATATTAAAATATCTGGAGAAAACGGTATTCATAACAAGGAATCATGAGATCATGGAAGGAAATTATGCTTAACAAGCTTAACTGAATAACAAATCAAACACATGGAAAAATTGAATGGGTTTACTGCAATTTTTCTTGATGTTCTCTATTCTTTTGGTATCTCGTACATTGTGATCATATTACCTCTTATCCTTCACTCCTCATATCAGATTGGATTATCTTGTCTTCGTAGTTGATTCCTCTCATCACTGGTACTTGCCTCGTGCCATATCTCTACAGTACTGTATCTAAATTTTTATATCATGTTTTAACAGGTGTGGGGTTCCATACTGGACTGTGTACTCGGGTATAGTAATGGCCTAGCATATGCTTTGTATAGTGTACTATTAGTGTTCTGATCTGTGTGGATTATCTCATCTCTTAGAGGCATTTGAAATATATTTATTTGATTTCATAAACAATATTATTTTATATGATGAAGGCAGGAGACAGGTACTTAATTTTTGACAATTTTCGATAGGAGCTTCAAGAAATGTGAAAAAGATATTTAATTGAAGAAATTACGAGTGTCGAGGGATTATACTGTAGTTTAAATTTTGAAGAAGTGATTGGCTACCTCTTGCTCTTAATATACATATGTTTCATCAAATTGTTGTTTTTATTTTGTGTATTTAAGTAAATTTTGTTCTTTTCAGTCACAAATAAGAAACTGGTTTACCGATTGCCGTGTGGAAAATAAGAAGGCAGGTATATTCCCACGAGACAAAGTACTTGTACAATGTCCTTATTGCGATATCACACTGGACACTGAAGTAGAACAGAAGAACCATCTCTTCTCAATACTTCATGTCAGGAAGGTTCTTGGGGCAGAATTTAATGGTGGTAAGTGAGTCTTATCAATTGTCTACATTATTTAGCTGAACTTGTCTCTTTTATCTACCTGTTAATAAATGTGCTAAGTTTATATTAGTCAATAATGAAAGTTGATTAAGCAAGGTTGGTCAGTTTCAATGAATAGTTAGTTTACACAGACATAATTACTTCCTTTTTTTTTGGGGGGGGGGGCTTCATTTTGGCTTCATTCACCCAATAGATGATAACCATGTCTGCATACAGCTTCAGGGAGCTACTGGGGCTCACCCAGAAATTGGCGTTTCATTACATTCAATGCAGATTTTTGTGAGCTCTCGCATCTGGTTGTCAAGTTGGGAACCTTCATGCTTTCCTCTGGAGGCTTCTGCTCTGTCCCTTCAGCCCTGGTGGGTGGTTTTGTTTGTACCCTTCCCCTTTTTTGGCAAAGAATGAGATGATTGGTTTCTGTAGAGATCCTTTGGGAATTGATGCTTGATTTGTCCAGTCAGTGGTACACTATTTGTTGTCCTCTTGTGGTGGTTTGTCACTACTTGCAGTGCTTTGGTGTACATACTGTTTGTTGATTCTGTTTCCTTGGTTCCCTGTTTTTTTCCCAGGTTGTCCGCAGTGTCATTAAATCTAGCCAGCCTGTGGTATACCCTCGGGTCCATTATGTTTGCAAGTTCATGACTTTAGTTGCTGTGTTCATTTAACATGTCATAAGCTGATATTTGGGCTTGAGGGTTTTGGATGTTTAACAGAGTCCTGGTGGCTCATTAACTGATCAATCTTCCTGGTCCCAGTTGGACTTGTGTTACCCTCTCTTGGGTTTCCCATCCTGGCATCTTGTCTTTGTGAATCTTGTTGCAACAATAATCCTCCTAGGTAAGTTGCATGTCTTCCATCTTTGTTAATTAGCTTCAGGCCTGAAATTGAAATTGAAACGCCATAAAGAGGATCCTCCAGAAAACCAGCATTGCATGTAGTGAAATGGCTCTTTCTGGTAGGACCTCGGTGGCTCCATGATTGATTCCTTCCCTCTCTACCAGGTTTTTCTGTTCTCATTCTATCAGTTATGGACTGAGACAAAGATGACAATGAAGCCTGGAGCTCCCGTGGTCTTGCCACCTGTTGGCAGCCACTCACACTAGACGGTTCGAGATAGTTTCGAGAGAATCATTTAGGTTTGAGTGAATAATGTGTCGATTCATTTGGCTGTTTCAGTGTTACATTTTCTATGAACTTTGCGGCTGTCTGTATTGCTTCACTTACTTTCTGGACACTTTTTTTGTTATTGGTGATCGTATAAAGTCCCGAGCCCCCCATACTTCTGTGAGGGGCCTCAGTTGAGCTGTTTCCTGGTAGGCCACACAGGACTCCTATGGCTGATGTGACTCAGTAGGGGGATGCCATCTCAGTGAGATAGCTTCAGGGAGCCATCGACGCTCTACCCGAGAGAGGCATTTCATTACATTCAACGCTGATTTTTATGAAGCACTAATTTTGTTTTGTTTTTGGTCAACTGTGTTAGATACTCATCTGTGTATTTAACAACAGATAAGTTATTTATGCATGTACAGTGTATATATGTATCCTGTATATGTCAGCAGACTTGAATCTATGCCTTCTCTCAAGTAGACTCGTTCATTAATAAACTAATAAGATTTGTACACCTCTTCACTGACTGCTTTTATTTTATGTACTGTATCTACCATAAACTGTTTAAAGATAAGAAAATACATATTTTATGTTTGTATCATCCAACAAAATTTGCAAATATGAAAGATAATATTTTCAATCAATTTTAATTTTGTTTCAGGAATTGGCTCAAAGCCTATCAGGTGGAAGAAGCTACCAAGCAGTGTGAAAGCCGTCAGTAAGAACTCTGGCGGTCGAGTGTTGGCCGTTGGCTATTCTGAGATTGTGGATGATAATACTGAGCCAGATAAAGTTACTCACACAGATGAAGCAGTTGAGGAGTTAAGTGAAGCAGATGAAATTGAATCAAAGAAGCTTCAAAAACGATGGACAGATTCTGTGCTGCTTCAAAGCATAAGGGAACAATCTTTACAGAAAAATGCTTCAGGCACAAGCTTAAGTAATAAATCTTTTGGATTTCAAAGTGGCAGTGGTGGTAATAGGGTACAAGAAAAGGAAGAATGTTTAACTTTTATTAAAATGGAAGCTGGAGAAGAAGGAATCGTGCAAAACACTATTGGCAGTGACAACAAATCCAGCACAGAGACAGTGGAAACAGAAACCTTGCCGACTGGTGACACCGGTGCTTCGTTACCTACAAGTGTGAAGCATCCTATTGTTGTTGGTCCTGCAGAGCTGTGCTCAAATAACAGTGATAGTGTTAAGCAACTACAGGTCCCCAGTGTCTCTAAACCAGAGGTCATAACAATTAGTGATGTTTCCATCAATATTTCAGCCTATAAAAATAAATCAGTGCAAAGAATAGGAAAACAGATGCAAGATAATGAGATGGCTCAAGTTTCAACTTTGCAACCAGGTCCATTAGTACAAAGAAAAGGTGACAAATATTCTAGATTTGAAGAAGTTGGCAATAATCTGAGCAATGACACAAATAGTAAAGTAAATACCCTACAAAAACGAGAGAAGAAATGTGAAAAGTTTGCCATTAAGGTAATTAAGGAGGCCAAGACCAATGCACCTTCCATCCCCAATATAAATGTTACTCATGGTATTAGTTCCACTTCAAATGTAAATGTTAACCCAGTTACAAATCAGGCATCAGGAAGTACAAGTTTAAATGCTGAATTGTGCATTTCAAGAAAAAGATGCAGAACCACTGAGGGCACTGGTAGTTATATAGAGTCCCAGCACATAAACACTAAAAATACCCACTACTTGCAAGCACCTTTTATGACCTCAGTCTTATTAAAATCTCACCAGAATATCAGGAATGCTTCAGATGAGACTGTAGTAATTGGCTATCAGTGCCCAACTTGCAGTAAAATTTTTCAAACCGAGTGGCTAATGATAAAACATTGCACCATCCACTTCAAGTATATATGTGACATATGCGAGCAACCATTTCCATCAGAACCCATGCTCAAGCTCCATATACATGATCATCTCACTGCAGCTTATGAAGATGAAAAGTACTATTGTCAGTTTTCTTGTAAAACTTGCCATAGCCTTATGTGTGAATGTTATGAGCCAATATATTGTAGGCCAAAGGAAATACCCAAAGGATATTCAAGGCCTCAAAAAGCAAGACGGTCCAAGAAAACTTTCATTAGCAAACCAAATTCTGGTTCCAATGATCATTTGGTTGTTACTTTAGCAGATTATAAAAAACTTGTTCAACCTATGGGCAGCTTAGGGAACATAAGAAGTGGAAAGAAGAAATCAAATGCCACCCAAGGAAACCCTAGTGGTCCTCGCATCCAGAAATTGCAAATACGAAACAACTTACAAGAAATGTCTCCTCCTAAAGAATTTGATGTAAAACATTCCAAGTCTCATGGAGAACCCAAAGAACATGACAGCCCAAAGCAAGACACAATATTCTTGGACAGTTCTAAAGATGTAACAGAGGTAATTATGCATAATGACTTGATTGATGTGAAGGAGGAGCCTGTGGATACTTTTTCAGAAGATCTGCTTAGTATTGATGATGAACCTTTGGGCGCTTACAGAGGTAAAAGGCCAGTTAGTCGTAGAAGACCTAATAAATTATCAAGCAATTACATCTATAAGGACACAGATTTTTATTACATGTGTGAAATGTGTGATGCAAGTTTCCTTTCTAAGGCAGAATTGAGCGAACACATGTTCTTTCATAGACTCAAATCACGGAGTCGCAGAGGAGAAAAGAGACGTGCACTTGGCACAGCAGACCAAGAGAGACAAGAAGTATTAAAACGGCTGAAGGTAGAAGAACTTCAAAGTACTGAAGTTGCAACCATTAATGTAGGGGGATTTGAAAGGTTCAAGTGCCCAATGTGCAAGGGACACTTTGCATCTGTCACAGATTTAAATAGGCACAGAACACAGGCTCACAAGGGATTTGACACAGATGTATTGCATGATGTAAATATGCCAGTTCAGCGCACTGAAGTTTTCCAGTGTGCATTCTGTGAGAAATTGTATCGAAGGGAACGAGAGCTACGAAGGCATCTTAAGCATGATTGTGTTAAAATCCCTAAACATCTAAAGGCTAAAATATCCTTGGGTGTAACTCTTTCTCAATTAGAATCTATGGGAAATGGACCCCTCTATCGGATAATTAAAAGAAATCCTGATGATACTCCTGTGTGTGACCCATCTCCTTCAAAAACCTCCAGCACAGTAACTTACAAAGGACCCATAACCTGTAAATATTGTCTTATGGTGACAAGGAGGGAAGCAGAAATGAAACGGCACATATGGAAATATTGTGTAAAAATACCAAGGGATGTTGTCAAAAAATTCAAATTAGGTGCAACATTAGAAGAGCTTGGATTTTTGTATGGCAGTGATAAACCTGAGTTATCGGAAGATTTGCTCGCATCTAATAATTCATCACCCACGGAAAATAACTGCACATCACCCACTGAAAATAACTACCTATCACCCACTGAAAATAACTGCACATCACCCGTTGAAAATAATTGCATGTCACTCCTTGAAAATGATTGCCCATCACGAAATGAAAGTCATAACCCATCATCCGCTGAAAATAATTGCACATCACTCCTTGAAAATGACTGCCCATCACGAAATGAAATTTATAACCCATCACCCACTGAAAAAGCCAACTCATCACACAGTGAAGATTATAATCCACCTCCCACTCTGTGTAATGTCCCATCAACCACTGTAAATGACAACCCATTAACCACTGCAAAGAAAAATATTTCTAGTTCCTTAGTTGTGTCACAGATAATTACAATAGATTCTCCACCTGCCAACCGTGCACCTAGTCAAATGTTCCCGTTTCCTTTGCCAGGATTACAATTTTCGAAGTCCAAAGAGCCCTTGGTATGTTCATACTGTGGTTTATGGTACTTCAGAGAATCTGCTATTCTTAAGCATATGAAAGAGCGCTGTATCAAGATACCAGATATGGAAAAAGAGTTTCTGAACAGTGGATCTCGTATTTGCAGTGTGCCTCAGAAAGGTAATGAAGCAAGTGAAGCCCTGCAACTTTGTAAGGCAGTGTACAAAAAAGTTGAAATGCCTGAGCATATTGCAAGATATGTTTCCCTGCAAGTTTCCCTGCCAGGGAGCCAAGAATCAGAATCTCTATCTATACTCCCCTTAGAATTAAACAGTGAAAAAAGGGGTAGTAGTAAGGAACTGAGTGAGCCTCCTGTAGTTGTTACTATAAAACGGGTGCCAGTAGCAGAGCAAATAACCAAGAGGCAGGGCAGGGGAGGAGCCAACAGGAAAAGTACAAAGTGTCGCAGATGCCACGAAAGTTTCAAATCACCTGAAGCAGTTCTTGCACACAGCAGTGTACATCATGGGCCCAAGAAGGGCTTTTATAGGTGCAAATTGTGCCAATTTAAGGTGCCAAAATATAAACAATTAAGAGAACATGTATGGGAACACACAGAAGAGACTCCATATAGATGCCATGTTTGTGAGGTTAAATTTAGAGTAAGTGATGCTCTGGTAGAACATATGGAGACAGAGCATGCATACAAGTTAGTCAAAGAGAGGAACCTTTACAAGTGGTTACCAGGACGCAATGGCAAATACAGGGACATTAAACCAATGTGTAAAGATAATTGTGAAGAGAGCTTAGAAGATCTTGATACTAATTTGGATAATCTTGCTGAAGTTATGGTGATTACAGACAGTGACATTTGGACTGGTACGAATGCAGGAAACACATCAGCAGACAGTGAAAATGTTGATAAAATACCTCATGAAACTCTTGAAAGAGTGGCAAATGACAGCAGTCAACCTGGACAGTTTGAGAGTAAGTATCTTAAAAACAAATCCTCTTTGTCCAAGGGAAATATATCTGTATTTTCAAGCTGTGAAAATGAGAAATGTGTTGACCGAAATGTGGAGACAAAGCAGTCCACTTTATATATGAATAACTTGGCACATAAAGAAGGTATTGAAGAGAAAAGCAAGCCTCATCATACAGTGAAAAAGGAGAGGGTAGATTCTGGACAGAAAATGACCTCTTTAAAAGGAAAAACTGTCAATAAAGATGCTACTAAAATGAAGAAATTAATTTTGAAAAAGGACAAGGAAACAAAATTGAAACTGAAAGCTATAAAGAATTGTGATGCAGAAATGAGTTCAAAGGCTAAAGTGGACAACCTGAATGCAGTAGTAAAAATGGAAGAGACCTGGGTAGGTAGGCCAGTAAAAGGAAATATAGACACTGAGAAAGGACATTTGAGCCCTGAAGGGAAGGAAATAGTAAAATTACAAGAGAAAACAAAAGAAATAAAAAAACAGGCAATTGATGAAGCATGTGGTGATGATGGCTATGCAGAGAATGGTGAAGGCCTTCTCTCCAATGTTGGAAACCTTGATAGTGTTGTAGAGACTGTTCATCTGACAGATAAATGTCTCTCGTGAGGTTTCTCTCGTATCTTCCTGGGCTGTTCTGTACAGTATGTATATATATATACACAGTAATATGTATAAAAGTTAATAAATTCTCATAAGTTTGATATTTTGACTCCTGTCAGCTGTTAATAGGATTTGGAAGAAAATGTGAAAGTTTATATGAATTATTTATTCTGTTCAGCACTACAGTGTTTATGAATTGCCGTTTTGTAATAGTAAATCTGATCTGATATGTATATAGTAACACAGTATTTACTATCAACAAAAATGTGCCATGTTTTCATCTAAATATGTCAGTCTCAGATTATTCTGACCATTGTTCAGGGATGTACTATACTGTACTCGCCTCTGTTTGTGATACCTGTTCTAAAGTTATAAGGAATGTATATAACTTGTTTATAAAATACTTTTTTAAGTGAGTTATTAGACCTAAGTACAAATAAATATTTCCAACAATCTTGTATTCAATTATAATTCCACAATTTGATACAAGTGGGGAGGCGGTCGGCCGAGCGGACAGCACGCTGGACTTGTCATCCGGGGTTCGATCCCGGGCGCCGGCGGGAAACAATGGGCAGAGTTTCTTTCACCCTATGCCCTTGTTACCTAGCAGTAAAATAGGTACCTGGGTGTTAGTCAGCTGTCACGAGCTGCTTCCTGGGGGTGGAGGTCTGGTCGAGGACTGGGCCGTGGGGACACTAAAGCACCCAAAATCATCTGAAGATAACCTGAAGAAGTGTAGCAGTCGCATCTTGAACAAATTGTTATTTTAAAAGCGGCTCACTGATGAGTGTCCTTAGTTTGTCACTGTCAGTCTAATAATAATTTGGACTGAAAACAAACTACCTTAGGCTTATATTATTTTCAAGTTACAAACCAAACTGTTTTCATTATGATCCAAAGACTTTTAATGAATTATTTTAATATAGAAGTTTATGTTTACTAAGATTTGTTAAAATGTCGATTTAAACAAATTTTATATTGTTAAGAACAGTAATAATAGTGTTAAATCTGAGTTAACATTAAAACTATTGTCCTCACATGAAACTGATAACCTATATCTTGAACCTGTGACCTCACGATGGGTACCGTTTGCCACCCCCAATGCTTTTCATATTGTCCCAATGTAGATGAGACCACCTAAATAAATGCTAAAACAAGTGTTCCAAAATTTGCAAACTTTTACACAAACTATTTGATAGTTGAATGAGGCAGTGTTGTGACTGCCAAGCATTCCATGTCATTAAAACCATAGTTTGCTATACGAACAACTACAACCTTACAGATAAGAGGCTTGTCTAGAAAGAAAAGATAAGGAATATCAATTAAGGGTCTACCTTTCTTCATCTCTGAGGAAAGCTAAGCCAGACTAACTCTGATAATTCACAATGTACCAATATAACCAGTGTATAATTTTGCTTTATAAATTATATGAATTGTTATAAATTTACAGGTATCTCATGCTATTTGGTCTAAAAGCATTGACAATGGCATTCACAATGTTGAGTGTTCTAATAATATTTCAGAGTACATATGGAGTGCCTACTGTTGGGAAATTCATTCTTGCAGCCATATGTAATGATATCCCAACACAGTTTTAGCAATTACAATGTCGGATGCGATTGCAAATAAGTTTTGCACCCTTGTCCCCTATATAAGCCAAACAGACTTCTTGTCCCAGACAATGGGGAACTTACAATTTCTATTACATATGATACAACACACACATCACTTAAAACACAATGTCTGCTGATGATGAGAAAGTTATGACGATTAAGATGGAAGAAGATAGAAAGAGGCTACAAGATGACCTGGACAAACTGAAAGAATGGTCCAACAAATGGCTACTAGTTTAACTCTAGTATAGTACGGTAAATGTAAAATAATGAAGCTATGTGCATGATCCTGTGGCCCCAGGTTCGATTCCTAGCGCCGGCAAGAAACAATGGGTAGTTTCTTTTACACTGATGCCCCTGTTACCTAGCAGTAAATAAGTATCTGGGAGTTAGTCTGCTGTCACGGGCTGCTTCCCTGGGGGGGGGGGGGGGGGGGGGGGGGGAATGTGCATTACAATGGTTCACATGCAGGATCTTGCATTTTTCTGTATTAAAAAAAAGCATTTGCCATTCCTCTGACCATTCGTGGAGCTTGTGTAGATCTTTTTGTAAGGCCTCAATATAATTTTCAATTTCTACTTTGCCATAAATACGTACTCACAAAATATACTTATAGTACATGATACTTGCAACACAATTTCTTACAAAGCGCACATTACAACACACATAATACTTACAACGTACATGATATTTATAACACGCAATACAATACTTATAACACATTATATAACACACGATACATACCTCAGTTTGTTGAAGATATATAGGCTTCGTCTCACCTATCTTGATCACCTGCCCTCTTGTTTAGCTTTGTACAGTATTTGTGTTTTGGTAAGTATTTCTAAAAGTTTTTTTTTTTTTTTGCAGTTTCACTAAAGTTTGGGGATATGTAAATTTTGTTATATTAATCCAAACCTTTTAGGTTTTGTACATTTTTGCCACTACACTCAGGAGACAAATACTTTTGTTAAAATCATAGGCAATTATGTAATTCAGGTATACAAAAATAAAAATGCAACATATAACTATGGAACCCTTTACTCAACATTCCACTGTAGCTAGTCTTTCCCAACAGGAAAGAACAATAGAATACAACTTCACATTATGTACCCACAACCCGGGTCAGGTATAATTGTTTACACCTAACACACACTAGTTCAGTGTTTACCTTATTGTCCCGTAACAACTGGTAGCCTGCAGACACTTGTCTTTTCCTCACATGAATGCTACACTCTGCAATTTAAAAATTAATCTGCTACTTTGATTGTGCTGCTGGTAAATATACAAATATTTTCTCAATATAGTTATGCTTCATTAAATTGCTTTTTGTATATTTAAATAAACTTAGCTTCTTCCCATTAAGAAGAATTAACAAAGTAATTTTATGAATATAGTAATACATTATTCTTAATCCACATTGTCAAATTTGTGCCCATTCCATCTTTTTTTCAAATCTTTAAAATTATCTGTGTGAAAATTATTCAGTGATGTGAAAAAATGTTTTATTCAATTTACACTTGAAAATTGTTTCAAGTGTGAAAATTGTTGTTTATTCAATTGTTTCATTACAATTTATTCAATATCGTTTTACACATGACGGGAGGAAAATTAAAGATTAGTTATCCATGACAATGTTATTTACAAAAGGTAAGTTTTACATAATGCATCAGTACAAGCCGTTACAGAAGTAACATCGACTTTCGAGTAAAAGTAAACATAAAAAAAAAAAAAAAAAATGCATATGCATTTACTCCAATTACAGGATAGACTTCCTCAATATACAAAAGTGACTTAAGATAAAATGTACAAGAAACTGTTACATTATTGCACTACTGGGCTTCTGTAGGAGCCTCGGGCACAGCACCAGCTTTAGGTTTAACCTGAAAAGATACAACAGCATACTTTAAGAAACTATAGAGGTAAAAATAGTGTCAAGTAAACAAAACGTGCACCTTTCCGAGCAATGATGCCCCCGAAGGTACAATCCGCTGTCTTCTCTGGACAAGGATCACGGCAGTCTGGCAAGTGACATTATTTTTTGCACCAGTGCTGCACGGATATTTTCAAGCTGTCCCTGCAGGGTTGTTGAAGGCACTAGTGGGGGTCATTGGACGCAAGCTCTATCTGGTACAGAATGACTAACAGCTGTATTCCATGGACGCTGAAATTATTCAAGTTCTCCCTCGCATTCAAATGTGACTACTGTACTAAATGAGGGTCTTCTTCATAACTGTCTACAACCCACCCAGCAACCTAGTATTCAAAATCACCACTAAATGGCACCAATGTTTCCACATGGGCATCAGACCTCTTCAGCTTCTCACATGCTGCAAGCAGAAAAAAAAAGGGGGAAGGAGAAAAAAAAAGCAGGAGGCAACTGTATGACTGCTCACACAGCTGCATTTCAAATTTACTTAACACCATTTTCTGAGCCATTACCCTTAGTTGTCCCCCCAAAGGCTATTAATACTTAAAGTGGTGGTCTGCAAGTTTCCAAGAAAGAAAGATGTAAGTAATTATCCAAATATGGCACTAGGCCAGGATGACTATTGTGTAGCACAGGAAAGAAAGAAATTATTGTATAATTTAAAAACTGTCCTGGGATTCCTCCAAGAAAAATTACAAAAGTTACAAAAATTAATTACAAAACAATAAAGTTCACAAAATTAAATAATATTATATATAATATTATTTTATATATATTTATATATATATATTTATTAAATACTAATAATAATAATATTATATAATATATTATGTTTTGTTTATTTTTTTAACCCAAAAAGGATCATTAGTTAGCCTATTGAGACCTCAATAAGACTAACAGGTTTCATATCTTTGACAATGGAAACTAATTAAAATCATTGTCCATTCCTGCTCCAGGCATCCTGGACGTTAGCTCCTAAACTAGTAACTAACATCCATATACTGTACTGGTATATCTACATTTAAGAGCCAAAGAAACATTAAGTCTTGGTAAGAAGACTTGAAGTAGTAAGGTAAGAAACCGTGTCTTGCACCCACCTCAACATTAAAATCGTCTGCAAATTTTTGCCCTGCTCTCAAACATGCCCTGCTATGGATTTTACTGCTGTTAATAAACTCCCTCCTACTGCATAGCCCTTTATACCCACCCACAATGCTTCAGGATTAATCCAATTACAGTACAGTACATGCTTTTTCCTAAATCTATAGAACTTTCTCCCCTTTGCTAAAAATCTTCCAAGACCCATTCTCATGGATACAATCTGATTTGTAAAGCCCCGCCCGTTCCTAAACTCACCTGTTCCATCCGTATCTTACTAAACCCATCCCATTTCATCCGTATCTTACTTAACCCACCCCGTCCCATCCATATCTTACTAAACTCACCCTGTTCCATCCGTTTCTTACTAAACCAACCCCGCTCTATCCGTATTTTTGTTATATTTATGTATCTACATCTCTTTACACCTTAAATTGTATAATTTAACAATTTAAATATTGCTCTAAAATCTATCACCGAGGCCTACATAAATATACATAAAACATCCAGACCTTTATTTCTTTAGTTAAAAGCTAATGGGAGATTAAGATGACTTATTTCACAAAACATTTAGTGGGATGAGCAGACAATTTGTTTTACAAAAAGTTTTAAATTAAAACCTGAAACAAGAAGTCACCTATGAAAGCTTATGTACGAGTGGCATAGCTAGCCTACAGTACTAACAAGAAACATGTCAAATAGAAGCAAAATTTAGTGAATTAAATAATACAGAAGCTACTTACAATAACTTTATCTGCTTTCACTAGGAATGGTTCGTTGAATTCATGTTGACAATTGGCATACCCCATACCCGCACCAAAGCCTAGACCGAAGACGAGGGGCCACGGTCGCCCTACAATCATACAATGCATAGTAAAATAATAAAAAATCAAATAGGTTAACATATTCTACCATTAATCTTATAAATACATATACAGATTCTATACCAAGAATATCATCAAAGTGACAAACAATTTCAGATTCATATTAAATCTACAGATATTTTAATGATCACTATATATACAAGCAATTGTACTCTTTCTTGTAAAATTTAACATACTGTACTAAATTTAAGCTAATTTAATTTCATATCTCGAAAAGAGTACCAATGATGCCACGACAATGCATAGTAAATGCACAGTACAACTTTACTGTACTCCCTTCATTGACTTATAATTTAAACAGTCACTTCTGTTTAAATCCCTAAACATGCTAAACACACACTTTACACTTCTCTTGTGCTCTTTACATGTACAATGCTAATCTTAAATGCTAATCCTGTTCTGAAACTCTTCCTTGACAGATGTAACAGTACCCATGAGTGCCACAGCAGAAATAAGTATCTCTTTGATATCCCCAGAGTCAAACTAAATCTTTGCAAACACTATGCAAATAAAGGTTTATTTGGTTTAATCAAAAGTAAAACCAAAATGTACCCAACTTCATCCTCATAGTTTCCTACCTTGTGCTTCAAACTTGCACAGCATCTTGTGCTACCCACTCCCTCAATATTAGTGCCTAAGACATGCAGCTTTATCATTGTATTCACTGCCATCATCTTATATCATAGTTATGTTGAATGCAAATTTTGCTAGACTGAAAGCAAATAAATGATTAAAACCTATTAATAATCTTCAAATTATGCTACAATGTACCTATTAATATTCTTCAAATTTTACTACAATGTACCTACTTATAATTATCTGTTAGATTAAGGACCTGCTCAAAATGCTAAGCGTGTTAGTAGCTTTGCAATAATGTAAAAAAATCACCAATGTTATGTACTCTCACAAACCCAATGTACCTTCTTGTATATATTAAAAAAAAAGAAAAAGAAAAAAAGGAAAGCTTTCAATACCATAAATCACAATAACCTACTTAATTTCAGTACTACAGAATTTGAAGCCTCTTTCTTAATTATTTAACCAAGGGCCATCATCTCGCTTGTGGTCTTGACGAGGACTGGAAGCTGGTGGCTTGTCAAAGGTTCCTCCATTTGTCCCAATAATTTTATCCACCTGGAATTTTTTTTTAACTGCAACAATGTTTTGGTATTTACAGCTTTGGCAGGTAGGCAGTGTCAAGTTTATAACCCTATGGGAGAAAAAGCATCTCCTGTTTTCCGTACTACATTGTGGCTTGCTGAGCTTGAAGCCATTGCTCCTTGTATGTGTTACATTTACCTAATCTTTTAAAGAAGTGTCCTGGATCAATATCCATCAAATTAGTATGTATTTTAAAAGTTTCGATGCGATAGCCGCATTGTATCTGGTTTGCAGTGATGTTAATCCTGTGGCCCTCAACCGTTTCTAGCATTAGAGCCGAGATGATTTTTGTCTGGTTTTCCATCGTGTTAACCTTTTTCTAATGCAGATATGTCCTCCTGACGATGTCGTCTCCATGCTTGGATACAGTAGTCCAAATGGGGGTGCACCAGATATTTTTGTAAAATTGAATAACTACCATCTTTTCCTTGAAGTAAAAATTTCACTTGACCCTTGAAAGTTTTGGTTGACTTTCTTTTTTTACTGCAGCTTCCACCTGTTCAACTTTTAATGATTGGTGGATTCTGACTAAGGTTCTTTTCATCATTAATCTGCTGCAAGGTGATGTCATTGATTTGGTAGTTGTGATGTGCATTGTTAAGCCCCAATTTTTCAATATTAACAAATATTTGCCAGATAATATTTAAACAATAATCTCTTATAAGTGTGAGCAATAAAAGGGCAGTTTTGGCTGCCCTTTTATTGCTCACAAAGTGGCCGACAACTTGTCAAAGATCTCCTATGACCTTTCAGTGATTGTGCATTATCAATTTCCATTGACAATGGATATTATACCTTAAGGAGTGGCAGAACAGCCTGCTCAGGAAAACAAATTTCAAATACATAGCTATTTTTAACACTTACTTTTGAAGACGATTGCAGAAAATACAACTCCTAGGGTGAGACCTCCACCTGTGTACAAGAAAGAAATATTAACTTCTTGACCATCTGTCTTTAGAAGCTATTGATGAGGACGTTTCAAAAGGTAGTATGGATATAGATAACTTTTCCATATTACAGTTTGACAAATATTTTAAAACCTAACAAAATATAACCTGACCCAACCTAATCTAAACATATACAGTACACTGCAAACGCCAACATCCCAACTTCTATATACAGTTATGGATCCCTCTTAACATATCAAATCCACCAAACACATTTCCCTCTGAAATTTAGAGAGGAATGCAGTAAATTATTTAATTTTCATAAAATCATACCATTTTCTAACTTTTTTAATTTATAAATATTATTTGGAATAATGTATTTATATTTATAAATATTTTTATTTAACCCCTGCACTGCACACCTGGTTTTGGCAAAAACTTCATAGTGCAATTGTCAAGGACATATTTTCGTTTTTATTAATGTTCAGGTAAAGTTAATGTCAAAATGCAGGCGATGAGTCACAATAACGTGGCTGAAGTATGTTGACCAGACCACACACTAGAAGGTGAAGGGACGACGACGTTTCGGTCCGTCCTGGACCATTCTCAAGTCGATTGTGTCGACTTAATGTCAAAATGTTTCCAAACTCAACCATTTTAATTTCAAAACACAGTGGTGAAAATATTAAAACATTAAAATAGGTCAAGTAGGTCAAGTAGCTGTAGGTCAAGACAACAAAAGAGGCATTTACACGCAACACACAACCATCCTGGCTAACTGTCACGTATGGCATAAGAAAGTGTCGCCTTTAGCGTGTCCTAGAACAAGTGTCACCGTAAAAATACCTCCATTTATCCCCAATTATACAGCCGGGGTGACACAGCTGACCTGCAGCCAACCACACTTCCAGTACACGCCCACACGGTGCCCAACACGGGGCACCAGCAGCCACACACACGCACTCATCCTCTCACCAATTTTAATGAGGGTATCAGCGACGCAGCGGTCCCATTTTTGGCCAAGAATATCTTCCGACCTGGACGCCGCCATTGTCAAGGGCTGAGGGACACGGGACCCTCCTACAGACCTGCCTCGTTACCTTCTATATCACCTCTAATTCGGTTAAAACGTTTTATTGCGCTGAATGCGGTAGTATTTAATACGATCTCCGGGTTGAGATGGGTTGAGATCTGGGTAGATTGTTAGGAGTAATGTGAGGAGGGAGGGCGTGAGTGAGGATGTGCGGCAACGGCGGCGTCTGACGCTGAATATTTGTAAACACCAGATTTGGCGCCAACTGTTCTCTCTGGCAGGTATTTATGGCGTCTTGTGTTGGGGTATAACACACTATTTTGTCACTCTCTTGTACGTATTTTGTACATACTGATGTGTATTTTGTGTGCGGCCTTTTCGGGTATTTTGTCCGGCCGTTCAAGCACTCGTTCCTCTGTCGTTCACAATATGGTTCTTAACTTCGATGCAAAGTAGGCCTACAGATTGTTCAGTTATTGATTGTTAAGCTGTATATATCTGCAGAGAGTCAGTCCAGACATGAAAATACTGTATGCAGAGCTATTATTAAAATCCTTAAGCATGCTTATCACACAGGTACTACAAACACTCATCTATTCTTTAGGTTGCATTTTCAAAACCCTACACTGGACTACTAGGATAATTCAAATGTCTTATGCTGCCCTGTGCTATCGTGACCTCTAAATCATCATCAACCTTCTAACCCTCACCAAAAACACATTTTAGAGGGTATATTTGGTGTGGTTAGCATGCATTTTTCAAAAGAGAAGACCCTTATTCAAATCCTGGACAACATGGGATGATTTATATATAGTACAGTATTTCCTTCACTTTCGACCTTTTAAATGTTTGGTGTACAGGTTCTTTAGCCTTGTTGGGCTCGGTTATATCTACAGTAACATGAGGGCCACTATCTGTCGATGCAGACAAGAATACAGTACGGCAGTTTATCAAGGTCCCCCAATGTTCCTGAGGATTTTTTTTTATCAGTATTTTGTATTACACCATTGTATTTATGACTTCAGCATGTACACAGTTCTGTAGGTTTATAACCTTATGAGTGAAAAAGCATCTGTATTTTATCCTACATTGTGGCTTGTTGAGCTTGAAGCTGTTGACCCTTTTATGTGTTTTATTTGATCTTATAAAGGAGTGCTCTAGTTTAATAATCTCCAACTTGTTCAGTATTTAAAAAAGTTTCAATATCAGCTGTGTTATGTATAGTTTTACTGTTGTTAGTCCTGTGGCCCTCACTGGTCCTAGTTTGAGATTTCAATTAGTTATGGGAAGATTTTTGTAGCTCTGTGTTGAACTTTCTCCGAAGCAGATATGTCCTTCTGAAGGTGGATATATCTGTGTCATGCTTGGATATAGTAGTCTAAATGGGGTGCGCAGTTGAATAACCACTATCTTTTCCTTGAAGTCAAATGTTTGTGTAACTATTACTAAGGTATAGTTTGCTATTTTTTTTTACTGAGGCTCCCACTTGCTGTGCAACATTCAATAACTGGTAGATCCTAACTTCTAGATCCATTTCTTCATCAGTCTGTTGCATGGTGGTGGTGTTGATAAGATAGTTGTGATGTGCATTTGAAGTTATATATGAAATATTTCTCCATCACTTTTTTCTTAGTGCATTCATTTGTTCATTATACTACTAACTGAAATAAATTGTTTCTATTATTCTGTGGCTCATTTGGGTATTTTGTTTCCACCTGTGTTATCTTATTTGTGCACCTCCTATGCTAAATAGTCTTTATTTGTCTTCCCCCTCTCAATTATCTTCAGAATTGTGTAGGTGATTATCATATCTCCTCTTTCTTATATCTTCCACTGACTTGAAATTTAAATACTTTTAATCTTTTCTCATAATACTTCTCAGCTCTGCGACTAATCTAATGGCACACCTCAGGACTTTCTCCTGCATCCTTTTGGGTTTTACAAGATACTGACTCCACACTGATGCTGCATAATCCAGAATTGTTCTGACATGCTCAGACTGTTAGAATCAGACATACTGAGGGTATATTGTATACATAAAGCTTAGTTTGGCACATTGTGGAAAATATGAAAGACTTGCTCTTATAGAGTATGGAAGACCGTTGACTATACCAGCATGAATGCAACTTGATACATGTTATTAATATATAGTTGTTCAGGCTGTACATTAATATAGGCTGTAGAAGTAATACACTAGGTTGGACATAACATGAATTAGAGGCAGTGTGAATTAAATAATATGTGTATGCTCTGTACTATAGATTAATTAGGTATTGCCTGAACCTTTGCTACTGTTAAATTTCATCAGAATTGTAAGTAATTATTTATATTTGCAGTTCAAATTAAAACTTCAAGATGGAATTCGGAGGCCGAAGAATTCGCAAGAATCGGCGAATAGAAATTGAGCTGTCATATCCATCTACCCTCCAGTTCTATTCCTCGCCGCCGTCAGGAAATGTTTCACTGGCTGAATTTGATGAGATGGCAGTTGAGAGATTGAAGAGTAAGTTAAATCCTGTGTGATATCTTATTCCAGAATAAGAGTAAATTAATATGCCATGCTTACAAAAAAATGAGTGAATGTGGATGGAAGTAAGGTTTTAATGGTGGCAAGAAAGGAGATTATGTTTGACATAAATGTGAATATGAAGGTTAAAAGTGGTCTTATATCTGGGATAAGTGATTGGTAAAAGATTAAGTTATGCAAATAAAGTTGAAAGTACAGTATTGTGAGTCAGAAGGAAAGTTTTTCTAACCAGTTAAAAAAATGACTGGTTAGAAATAAGATAGGAAGATATGCACACACAGGTCTACTTGAAGGTGTGCTAGTGCTGTGCTTTATTAATAGCTCCGAGACTGTGACGCAGTATGAATATTAACGGTTTAACAATTGCAACCTGATAAGGTTGCTTTTTGCAAAGCTAATAATGCGCATTTTGTAGAAAGTTTTTGTCATAATATCTTTAGCAACTGTGCTGGCTACCATGTTCAGTAAAGGTATCCAGGTTTCACCTCACCTTGTGTTAGCCTCATTAATATAGCATTATACATTACTTGTGGTGAAATTAAAGTCAATGGGAAGCAGTAATGTACTGTACATTGATATTTCCAGGTATTTTTTGCTTTAGTTTTATCCATGTTTTAGGAATTTCTAGTTGTATAGTCTTTTGTGTGTGCATAGGATTTTTTCTTGCAATCAAGAATAAAACCTTTTCTTCAACATGTTGGCTGATTTTTCTGGGTTCCAGATAATTTTATCTGCCTGGGAATAAGGGAACCAGACTCCACTGTGCGGACTGTGTCTTGGTTGCTATCAGCCAGCACCTCATTTTGACATGGAGGGGGTAGGAGGATAAACAGTGGTAGAGATGACTGCAGGAGGGGTTGGACAAAGCATTGTCAGTGTGGTTCTTTAAAGTTAATATTATAAATGAGGTGGGAAAGAGAAAGGAAGGTTGAAAGTAACTTATTAATAGAAATAGTGTTAGGCATAGTTAAGTCAGAGTAATGAACGTCAATGGTACGGACAGGTTTGAGGGGGTTAGTCGTGAGGTCAGTCATAGATGAAAGTTATAAGGGCTAAAAGAAGAATAGATATCATTGTTCATATCATAGAAATTGAGAATGTATGAGTGCTAATCTCCCTAAGGCTTGACTGAACCAACACAGCTCAGGAAGCTACCAAAGACTCCAACATATAAGGTAATTTCATTACATTTAAAGCTTGATTTTTTCTCATTACAGTAAAAGAGAATCACCTTTTAAAGTAAAATTTCTTAGAAAATCTTGTGTATACATATTACTTTTGGCTTAAGGTACAATATTACATGGAATTGTAATACTGTAAGTGAAATTTACTGTATTTTGGATTGTTTTACATTATAAAACTAAATACAGTACTTGTATTTTTTCAGTTTTGAGATGTGTTGAGCGTTTGAACCTCAGTGGCCATATCAAGAACTCCGATGACTGGATGAATAAGCTGTATGATGAATTTGCAAAGCACAAATATTTTATTCATACTGCTGTAAGTAATGTGAATGAAAATGCTTCTTGTTTTGTAAATAACAAATGTAGGAATTGTTGTGGTATGGTGCTTATCATTTCCTTATAAAACTTATTTATCAAGCTGACTTAATTTCCTTGCAGTTACATGTTTAGAAATAAAAGTATTGATAGGGAACAAAATTGAAAACTTTATTTGCTCTGTACTAAAAATTGGGTGATTTTTGTTTATCAAATCTATTTTGTATCCCTATTGAAGTAACCCATAATTATGTTAAACATTTGTATTCTATGGAGGAGGACGAGAACCTACTTCACTATTGCATAGTTTCTCATTGTCAGGAACAGGATGCCTGTTAGGCTTATCAGTGTCCTAGCCAACAGCTGAACCTCCCCAGGATACAACCCACAACAGTTGACTAACTCCCAGGTACCTATTTACTGCTAGGTGAACAGAGGCACCAGGTGTAAAGAAATGTGCGCAAACATCATGTCTTGTGAGAATTGAACTTTGGACCATCTCAGTCATATAAATTTGAGGCAAATCTAATCCTTGTCACACTACATCTTTTGTATTCTGAGGAGAAGAACCTGAATGGTGAAAACATTTTTCAATTACTTAGATTAAAAACCGAGTTGAACGAATTACTGTACCCGTGACCTCACTCGAACAAACTGTACATGAAAGATTTCTTCCAGTGCATCAGACCTCTGACAACCTACCTGAAGCATACCTGGAGAGGGTTCTGGGAGTTCTTCCAATCCCCGGGCCAGGCTCGACTTGTGATAACTCCTTAACCCCTGCACTGCGCACTTGTTTTTGGCAAAAACTTTTTAGTGCAATTGTTAAGGACATATTTTTGTTGTTTTTATAAATGTTCAGGTAAAGTTAATGTCAAAATGTTTCCAAACTCAACTATTTTCATTTCAAAACACAAAGAGTGATAAAACATTAAAAACATTAAAATATAGCCTAATTAAAAAAAAAACAGGCAACTCTCAAAACAGCGTTTGTCGTTTGGCGCAGTGCAGTGGTTAAGGCGACCCTTTTATTATTTTAATCTGCACAGAAAGTCAGTAGGTCCCAATCAGTAAACAAAAATCCACAGAATATTTATGTATTATGCTATCATCATTTTGTCTGTCACACTCAATAGAGGAGTCATTGGCTATTTGGTTTTCTTCTTCTTCTTAATAGTAGGTGCAGTTTGCATGAGGGGTTTGTCCTCCCGATGACTGCACCAGTACAAATGTAGGGAGGCTCGTTTATGTTGAGAATGATAAGAGCTTCGAAAGTGCTTGTTGCGTTGTGCTGTAGATAGAGGAGTGGCGACTAAAACAGGGGTGCACAGTATGTTAGAGAGAGACTTGCCGCACCATAGGGCGGTATAGTGTGTTTATGGCGTCAGCTGATCATTGGTGCTGTGACGAGACAGTTGTTTTCTGTGTTTAGCTGTTGGTGGCGCCAGGTATAAATGTGGCACAGGTCAGATGTGACCCAATTTGTTGGTCGACTGGAGATATTTAGACAGTGCTTTGACTATTTGATATTTTTCCTGTAACGAGTGGTCACCTCCTCCTAATATATGCCCGATGGTAAAGGGTATTTTAAGTGTGATAAATACTTGTTTGAAATTTACACTTGCACTATGATGTCGGAAACAGTGAAGGAGATAGTGTTCGATTATTTCAGGCACCTGACGGTGGATCAGAGTTCGTTAATGTCTGTTCTGTACTTAGAGTTGTGTGCTGCTAGTTTGGTGTGTTCCAGCCTTAATCTGGTCATCATTACATCAATCTCTCTACTTTTATATCTGACATGTTTCCAAGTTTCCCATTTCTTTTTTATGGACCCATGGTACAAAGATGAGCATGACATTTTCCATTTCATTACAAAATCTTGGGTGATGGTATCTTTGATGGTATCTCCTTTATGTGCAACATGGGGAATTGGATGACGGGTAATGTGAGGTGTGTTGTGCACCGCTTTGGCTAATTGATCTACAAGTTCATTATGGAGAATACCACAATGCACTGGGACCCATTGGATAGAGGTGTCATAACCATTCAATCGATGTTCACGGAGAAGTTGAAGGCATGGGTAAACAAACTCTTTGCAAGTTGTTGAAGAGTACGTAATTGCTTGAATCGCACTCTTGGAGTCTCTACAGATTGTATATATCCCAACTGGTAATGTTGTAATTATTTGGAGAGCTTGGTATAAGGTATATAATTCAGCTGTGAAAATAGATAGTTGGTTTGGTAACCGCCATCCCTGCTTGAGATGGTATTTCGGTATCTATACAGCCCTAATAACCGAGTTGTTTATTTATTGCCAACTATCGGTTTCTGTGTTTTCAAATTGTTTGTTATTTTCTTTTGGGGTGTTGGTTTACATCTTGATGCCTTTGACTTTTGGTGTAGTGTACCTTTGATGTCGATTGATCAATGATACTTTGCTCCCCTGACCTCTTAAATAGAGCCCAATTCTGATCCTGTACTCCTGGTAGGTCACGAAATGCATCAGGGGGCCTGATTTCTATTTAGTTAAAAAATAATGAACATAAGGTTTCTGGGAATCTATTGCAGAAGTACGATACTGCAGTACAAACGAACTATATTAATCAAAAGTTTTTCAACAGGAAAAGATATCAAGTAATAAAAGAGATGAGGTTGAGGCAGCAAGACGACGTGACCATGTGTCCCACTTCGTGCTGCGTCTGGCTTACTGCCGCACAGAAGATCTTCGACGTTGGTTCATCGCTCACGAAACAGACTTATTTCGTGCTCGCTTTATCCATTGTTCCAAGAATGGAACCGATATTAAAAACTTCATGATGAGTAATAATCTTCATTTTACACCAGTAAGTAATTAATGAAGTTTTATTTGTTACATATTTGTCTACATTAATTCTATATTTTTAACTCAATTTAAATGTCTTCCATTATATAACTTAGCTGTTTTGCCAGATTTTGTTTCACCGATCTCTCTCTCTCTCTCTCTCTCTTTCTCTCTCTCTCTCTCTCTCTCTCTCTCTCTCTGTTTATACATATATATTAAGTACAAAGTATTAAGTACAATTTCTTCAGTCATATTACTGTTTAATATACATGTACAGTATTGCCAGTACCTTTATTATGGCTTGTGCTGACCAACGTAGGGTATTAATGCATCACTAGCATGATGATAACACCTTTCCTTGTTATCATTGTGAGACGTATGGTATGAAAAGGAATCAGAGCAGTAGTTATGGATAATCAGATTTCAGATTATGGGTAATCTGAAAGTATGTATGGTGTTAGGAGAATAATTAGAGTTGATGATGAAATGTCCAATGCTTCAGGGATCAGTGCAGTTGAGTCTCGGCCAAAAGGCCCCAAGTTCAATTACCGTGACAGACTAGAAGTGTTAAAGTAATGTTTCCATTCAGCTGATGACCTGTTCACCTAACATTAAATACGTATGAGTGGGTTAGGCAGCTGTTGTGGGTTGCAACCTGGTGGTACTGGTTCTCCATGATGCTGTACAGTGAATGGACAGATGGTTTTGTTGAAGTGTCTTGAACCATGTTTTCCTGTTCTGCTTCCGTCTTCTCTTCGGGCCTGTGATGCCCTCTCTCACAATGCAAGGGCAAAATCTTCATCAATGTGACTTTTCCAGTCATTCTATGTATTAACCTCATGGCTTTTATACATATATACAGTGTAAAACTCTTGAATATAAACACTTTGGTGCAAATGCCAGTACAGTACTGTACCACACTCTTCTGCCAGCCTGCTCACTTTCTCTATTAATTTAGTGATTTTTCCATGTTTGGATACCTGCCCTTCACCTTACTGTGTTTTGCCTGATTACTCCTACTGCTTTACAACAGTTCATTAGAAAATAACAAAATATAAAAAGAAAAATGGGTGAAAATCCTTGAATATGGATTTCAGTAAATAAAACATTACAACCAAAAAAACTTTTTTTCAAATTTGTATTTGGTACTAAAGGCAGCCAAAAAAAAACATAAAAATGTTGAGCAAATATTAACACTATCGCATCCGGATAACGATATTGACGTCCTAAAATCAATACTCTTAGTTATCTGGTGGACAGCAGTGCTGTCCAAAATTAAAATATTTGTAAAAATTACATTTATTGTCCGATTATTATGCGATTTGTTTTAAGATGCACGCCAACGTCTTCCCATTCTCTGTGGCTATATATGGCTATACATAATGCTTTTGTGTTATACAAGCTAAGAAACTCATATTCCTCCAGTTCCATGAATTAGTCATTTGGTCACTAGTGTACTTTAAGTATAAGGATTGGCCTCTCAAAAATGTCAACATGTTCGTCACCATCATACACGCTGGTGATGAACAAGATGATGACAGCAGTTCTACTTCTCACTACTAATGGCAGTGTTGCAACACCTGGACCATCAGTTGCAAAGCTGCCACTCTTTACTTTATGTACTGTACTTTATCTTACGGTATTGGTAATGTTGTTCTTATATTTGTTCTTATGTGTAAATATTCCTTTAGAGCATTCTATTGTGAATAATTTGATACCAAATTGAACAACGTAGCATGTAAATTGAGGTAAGAAAGCTGAAAAGAGAATAAACATCGCTCGGGCTACCTCGGGGTGCACAGCGGCCCGCCCGCCGGGGATGTGAAAGTGTTAAATATACATTCTGTATTTTCTATTATTTTTATATGAATGGTATTTTGATTATTGTTAAATGTATAATGATCATGTTATAGTTCAAGGATAGCTTAACTGAAATGAGAGCAAACTTAGTAGATTAACACTTTCGCGCTCTCGGCGAAGGTCACTCAGCCAACCGTATGTGCGCGCGGCGTTTTTATCGCTTAAGCGTAAAAACAAAAATGTGTATACTCTTTTTACTTTTCTGACCTTAGTTTTCATGCTACGTATTTCATTTTGATACCAACGTGTTCGCAATAAAATTATCTAGAAGAACATCAGTAAAAAAAGTCACGAAAGCTATAGAGATACCAGCATGAAATAAATAACTACGAAGATGAGTCGCCGTGAGCGCTCAACAGCAACAAAATGTTTTTACTCTTGGGATTATTATCACCTCTACAATTGTCCTACAGCCTTAATTTTGGTATCAATGGACTCCCAATAAAATTCCCAACACGGTGATATGAATATAATCGTAGAATAATGGTCCCGGCCCACCCGCAAGAGTGTGGGAAGTGGGCACACTGTTACCCGGTAATGGTGACCGGACGACACACGCGCGAAACGTTGCTTTGAAAGTTTATACTTATTTCACTGTTCTGATATTATTATTGTATGTATGTCATTCATTTTTGTGGCAATGTTTTCGCAATAGAATGTTCTATGAGCTAAATTATACTACACAAACTTGGACCAAATAGGTGTACTTACCAAGGGAAGGCTGGTTGTGGAACAGTAAGTTGAGCATTTGTTCTTCACTCCACCTTCTTCAGGTTCTTCATTCCTGAAGTTGCTCAACAGATGGTTTGTAGGTGGAGTGAAGCTGTTGCGGGTGGTTACTTCTTCACCACCCAATACACCTTTTTCCGGTGGTAATTGGTGTAGCAGGGAACAACACAGAGTGCAACACCACAGGTCTTGCATCCATAGTTCGTGTCCTTCCTTTTACCAGACCGTGCGCATGCATGACACTTGAGACGTTTTGGCAGTCTGTAAATTTCATGTTTCAGTTTGTAGTTCATGCGATTTTCTGAATCAACAATAGGGCCAGGTCTTCTCGCTGGAGGTGTAACAGGAGTTGCAGGAGAGTCAGATTCATCTGACAAAACAGTTTCGTCAACTGGCAGTGTGGCAGACATGTCGGGTTCAGATTCGTTGTCTGTTTCATCTTGAGGTGGTGTAGTGAACAAAGGCCGCCTCACACCAGATGGTCCGGGAGTTGGCATGGCGTCAGCATTGGCAGGAGCTGTGTCATCATTTATGTCTGGAGCGTGCCGCAAGTGTTGAGATGATGATGTTGTTTTAGGCCACTCCTCTGTGTCCCAGTGCAATAGGGCCCAGATTGCCACTTCGTGGAACTGTAGCAATGTTAGCTTTTTTCGATCAGTTGTGTTGTATTTGTACAAAACATAGGCATTATGCAATGCCATTTGCAGGAAATAAAAGGTAATCTTTTTGGTCCACTTGTGAGTTTTCCTGGTAAAATGGTAATATTTAACCATTTGATCGAAGTGGTCCACACCTTTCATGAACTTATTGTACTCGCAAATTGCAGTCGGTTTGTTCACTGTTACCTGTTGTATTCCACTTGTTCCGTCTCGGTTGCGAATTCGCTTCCTTCGCTGAACTCGCTGAGTGTCTGCATTGTGGATGTTGGTAATGATTGAAACCACTCGCTTGTCTTTCCACAGGAGAATGAAGGTGTTATCTTTGCGGCGGTATACTGTGGTATCCAGTGGAAGTTTACCCTTGGCTAGAGCTTGCAATACCTTTGGGGCACCACGTAGCATTCTAATTGTGCCACATGTGTACACCCCACGTTCTCTCAATGTTTCTGTCAGGGTAACCGAGTTGTAGTAATTATCCATGTACAAATGGTAACCCTGGTTCACTAAAGGCTGCATCAACCCCGTTACTGTATCCACTATCGTCTTACCAATACCTGAGTATACGTCAAAGTCATATATGTACCCAGAGACAGATTCAGCAAGCATATAAAGTTTCACACCATACTTGTCTGGTTTGTTTGGATTGTACACTTTGAAGGATAGTCGGCCTCGCCATGCCATTGTACCCTCATCCAAACACAACTCTTTCTTGGGGATGTAAACTTGAGCAAACCTCTCTTTCAAGTAATCCATCACTGGTCTCACTTTTATCAACTTATCACGATTGTTCACGGGCACTGCATTGGTATTGAATGTGTGGAAAAACTGGTTTATATGCTGGAATCGTCTGGACGGCATGAACAAGCTGAAGAAACGAGCATGCCATGGCTTTGCTGTTTGCCAATACATCCTCATAGCTGGGAGCCTAATTATGCCCATCAATATGAACAGTCCTAGGAATCGCGCCATTTCACTCACCTTCACTGGGGTCCAAATATCTGATACATTTTCATTGGCCATCCGGAATAACTGCGAGGCGTACAAATTTGTTTCAACGGTAAAGAACTCAAGGAGGGCACGCGTGATGAACAATTGAATATAAGCCAGTGCACTAGTAGGCTTGGGAATTTTCAGTCCAGGATCTCCAGTAAAATCATCAACAACTGGAGAAGTATTGCTACGACTCCAGCCCTCACCAGCCCCAGCCTGCCGAGTACGTACTGTACGTGTACGCCTTTCAGCAGGCTCGAATGAATCCTCATCACTTTCCTCATCACTTATACTTTCAGAATCACTTGGCGCAATTTGTCGTGTGTTCCTACGACGAGTAACATGTCTGGTAGCTACTTTTCTAGGTAGCCTAGATGCACCACGTGTGCGCCGAGATGGAGGAGGAGGAGGGGGTCGCGGTGCCTCCTCTTCCTCGGTGAGGGCCTCAGTCTCCTCATCACTCGTTGCCGTATCATTCCCTCTAGCTCTAGGTACACTATAATCGTTGTGGGTTCCAAAATCTTCCTCCAATACCTCTACATCACTTTCAGCTTCTGATAAATCCTCCACAAGGCCTGGAATTTTCGTTGGTGTGAGCTTCACTCCGCTCCACTTCTTAAAAATTTGGGTTATTTTGTCCACTCTCGATGACCTGGAGGCTTCCTTGGGCGTAGAAGTGCTTGGGCCTTGACCTGGATCCATTTTTGATGAAGTAATTGGGTATAATCCACACGGAAACGGGTAAAAATGCTCGAGTTTGGCGCGTGAGGGGAGCGTGATCGACTCACGACACGTGACACGAAAACAATAGGCCCGTCACGTGACCGGGTAGGCCAACGCGCCAGGCGGCCTAGTGGTGAGAAAGAGAACTTCATGGCGCGTCGTTTGAAACAAACCCCAATGAAATCGGATTAAAATTGAATTTTATACAAATATTTTAAGAGGACATAACTTTATGTCCACTATGCGTTTACGTTAGACGAAACAGGACGCGCCGGCGCGTCCAGATAGCGCGAAAGTGTTAAGTTCATTATATTTTCTCATTTATTTTCTGTGTAAAATAGTTTAGCTAAAATTCAAGGTTAAATGTAATTTTTTTATCCCAAATTTCTCCTTACTCTCAAAGTAGTGGTCCAGAGAGAGCAAACTTTGGCCTGTCTTGCTGAGCTTTTATTGGCCTGCGGTGTTTCCTGAATTGCAGAGGACTACCATGAATCAGGGTGCAGGGCAAGAACCTTGGGAGGTACCAGCATTCTCACGATCATGCTTGAACAGGGAAATCAACCTGTTGTCCTGTGGCCAAGGATTAACATGTCGTATCCTGAGCATTGTTAAGTTAATCCACCATGTTTCATATGAAGTTCCTGATAGCTGAGAACTTCATAATACATAACAATACCTAACATAATTTTCCTGTATCACTTATGCAAGATTTTGAGAAAGTTATCCGAATAGAAGATCTTAACTCCCATCCACCACATGGAGTGTGTGTGTGTAATTACCTAAGTGTAGTTACAGGATGAGAGCTACGCTTGTAGTGTCCCGTCTTCCCAGCACTCTTTGTCATATAACACTTTGAAACTACTGACGGTCTCAGCCTCCACCACCTTCTCGCCTGACATGTTCCAACCATCTACCACTCTGTTTGCGAAAGTGAATTTTCCTATATTTTTTTCAGCATCTGTGTTTAGTTAGTTTAAATCTATGACCTCTTGTTCTTGAAGTTCCAGGTCTCAGGAAATCTTCCCTATCAATTTTATCAATTCTTGTTACTATTTTGTACGTAGTAATCATATCACCTCTTTTCCTTCTGTCTTCTAGTTTTGTCCTATTTAATCCCCTTAACCTCTCCTCGTAGCTCTTGTCCTTCAGTTCTGGGAGCCAATTTATGCTGGTCATCGTATGATGGAAATCCTGATCAGTATGAAACTTGATTCTGACATGCACATTTTCATTGTATATGTATTTTTTCTGTGGAGAGCCCCTTCGGCTCCCCGAAGCTATACCGGGTTGATGTGTATATAATAGACCGTGGCAACAGTCAATCGATGGAGTTCTAGGCTTACTGGGGACCAGTGCCAGAACCTGGCTCCCTCAGAGAGGCACAAGGACCAGTGGCCTGTAGACTCTCCCGTGTAGTTGGAAGCAGTCTATATCTGCCATCACCGTGTCAGGCACCCAGAAAGGTAGAAATCCCAAAACAAATTACAGCTGGTTAAAAATTGCAAACCGAAAGCTGAACGAGCAGGCAGAACTGCCCCAATCAGAAAACAAGCAAACAAGCATGACATCACCACATCCACCGCGCCGCTGTCTGGGCAGCTCCTCTTTCCCCGGGAGGGGGAACCAAACCACAAACCACTGGTTTGCAAGATCCCTCTCCTGCGAGACCCGGAGACCTCTGTTATGGATCCGTCCTCCTTTGAGTTCAGTTCTTCTTTCCCGTATTGGGTGCGTTTAGAGGTTCCGGAATTTTCCTGGCTGGCAGACTGCCCATTTTTTTCGTTGGGGGCGTGGCATGGGTTCTGTCGGACCTGCACACTCGAATTGTAAGAAACCTTTACCGTTCTACAAGTTTAAGTGGGGATGACTTTGAGCGCCTTACTGTGTGCTTGTTCACCTGTGCAGTTTCACGTGCAGATTCCCTCCCTTTCGGCGTCTTTGGTTGCTGGGGACACTTGGGCATGGCTTCCTGTGGGCATTTGGCTTCGGGCTTGCACTTCTTTTCCCTTCTCTAGCTGTCCTTGGACTGGCTTGAGGAGGATGTGGGGGGTGTTGAGTGCCACGCCTTTTTCTGGGGGTGCTGGTTTTGGCGGCTAGGGAGTCAGTCGCACTGTTGAAGCTGTTTGCTCCAATTCTCAATGAGGTGGTGTCTCTGTTCTTTGCTTCTCACCCCGCGTGCTGGCAAGCTGTGCTCGCTCTCCCTTTGGAATCCGCTTGGGCCCTAACTCTTAGGTTTTCATCTCCGTATTGTCTGCTGCTGTTTACGTAGACTGCTGTCACACAGTTTCTGCAGGCAACTTCGTCTAGTTGACGTCTTTTGTCAGACTTGTTTGTTCTCCTGGGTAGCCGTTCTCAGCTTTCTTAGAAGAGTTGTGCCAAGGCTCTGGGTTACGTAGGTCAGGATGGGCCATTGGTGCTAGCTTCTGAGCCGGCGTTTCCTTTGAAACCGGCATCGTCTGGTCGACGTGATGATTGCTCTGCTCGTTGGCCGGCTTCTCGTATGGGGCGTTGGCCTTTTGTCGTTTGCCCCATTGATGGGGCAATGGGCAGGAGGCTTGCGCTGTTTGCTCACATCTGGTCTCACGATTCATGGGCGTTTCGGATCATATGCTCAGGCCTGTGGTGGCGTTGGGTGGCTCCTCCTTTGGGAGGTTTGGGGCGGGCAGGGCAGGCTTCTTTTCCTGCGCTCCGTCGGGTCATCTTGGAGTGGGAGCGCTTGGGTGTTGTCGAAATGACTCGGTCCCTCAGGTGGGTTGAGCTCAGAAAATGGCATTTCATTACATTCAATGCTGTTATTTGTGTTTATATCATGCTCCTACAGTGTGTTCACATACTGTCTCTTGGGTAGAAATGACCTCAACTGCATTTGTTATTTCAGGTGCCATTTATAGAAGCCCTGGAGCTAGTGAGACAAAGAAAAATTTACCTGAACGGTGGGTATGCGTATGTTCCCGATACTGACCTGGTTACCCTAGTTACAGCTTCATTCAGAAGTAATCTCTCTCATGCACTGGCGGTAGGTGGTTTGTACATTTGTACATTTTCTTTAAGGCATTACATTTTTGGGGGGTATGTTGGCATAATACATGACATGGTTTATATTTGTTGGGAATATTGGTAATGGTTATAATATGGGGTCTGCTGTCAGTGTAGTTCATCAATGATGTTTTTGCCTAATAAATTGTTCTTCTCCAGACAACAAATAGAGCGCTTCCGCAGCTAGAGGATGATGAACGCTTGATGAAACTCCTACAGGACTTTGACAAGCGGTACACTGGTAATGACTACTCACAGAAGAAAAATTCTGAAAATCTTCGCATAACACCAGATATGATTGACCAGCTTGCCAGCAAGTCTTTTCCATTGTGCATGCGTCAATTAAATGACACGCTAAGAACGACTCACCATCTACGCCACGGTGGGCGTCTTTCATATGGGTTGTTCCTCAAGGCTGCAGGATTGAGCTTAGAAGATGCTCTGTACTTTTGGAGATCTCATTTTACAAAGACGATGGACGTAGATAAGGTAAAGTTTTATTTGAGTGCATTAATATGTGTAATTATCATTGATTTTTTAAGACAAATGCCTGAGAAAGTATCTAGTTTGACTGAAAAATTTAAGCATTCAGACTTTTGTTTTCACATTCCTAACTTTTATTCCATTGTAAGTTTGCTTCTTTCATTTTGCAGATGTTCTATATCAATTGCCCTCTTAGTCAAGTTCTGAGGTGCTTCTTTATGTCCTAGTTGGGAGCTTATCTTTTGGTGATGTTATGTAAAGCGTGCAGTAGACCATGTATGCTCCAGTCATATACCTATGTAAAGCATGCAGTAGACCATGTATGCACCAGTCATATACCCATGTAAAGCATGCAGTAGACCATATATACACCAGTCATATACCCATGTGAAGCATGCAGTAGATCACCAGGCTCAAGCACATTCACCAGTTTCATTCCTCACCAGGAAATGTATATTTGCTTCATCACACAAAAGTCCATCATGTCCTTTGGTACAGATACCAGTAAACATTTAGTTTTATACATAACTACTTCAACCATTGTCTTTTGAGATATTTATCTTGATTTGTTTTGCGAATATGTCAGTGACGAAGAGGACACGTTGACTAGTTGAACTGCTACCAGGGAGGAAATGCATATTAGTTTTTATCAATAACCAATTGATAAAAACTGCACCGCAAGCAGTCCCCAGGGCCAGATGAAGTGTATGCCCAGATTCTTATAGAACGTAAAGAAAAGCTTAGTGAGCCCTTGTCTTGCATATTTAATAAATCATTATTCAAGCAGTTCCTGGTTATCGGCTGGACAGTGTTGAAGTTTCCATATGTTACCATAAAAAATATCTGGGAGTCATGACAAAGTTAATACCAGGGAACTAGAAACCTTTCTTGTGAAAGGTTTCTTTTTATTTGTATACTGTGTGCCGAGGTGATGATTCACTATCGTCTGCTTTTATTACCGGTCCACACCTTACCTGACCTCCCTCTAGCAGGTTTGGGAAAAGGTATTAACTGTACACTTGGGAAGAGGTATTGTAATTTGTGGAGTAAGTAGAATTAACAGACCCGTCTCATTAGCTGCACATAAGCTAATGAGAATATGGAGCAAATATTTTACTGACATAATATACTTGCTACAGATCAAATTACTATACAGGGTAATGTAAGGACAGGATCACTGGATTTTCATGCAAAGTTTAGACAGATATATGAATAAAGTTTGGATGGATACAAAGAGGAGCTGCCTCTAATGGGCTAATAGGCCTTTACATTTTCTTTGTATCGTATTTTATGTTCCTTTGTATACCAACATTTAAAATTGGTTCTATTTTGTGCACTTACACAATTTTTATCCTCAGTTTGAGAAGCAGTACGCATACAATATCCGTTTCAACTATGGAAAAGAAGGAAAGAGAACAGACTATACTCCGTACAGCTGCTTGAAGATCATCATGACCAGCATAGGATCCGGTGATGCCCATGGTTGTCCCTTCAAACACACGGACGCTCCTATATTGAAGCAACGTCTCACTAGCTTCCAAGTCCCACAACAAGGTAATACCAACTGCTTCGGTAGTAGAATGATAGGGAAATGACCAAAATTTATGGTATTTAACAATGTTGCTATTGGTATGTTATAGAAAGTCTTAAATTTTATTTGTAATGTTTAATTAAAAAGTTACAAGGATTTGTATGATAGTGTTTTATAATTGTGTGTCTCTATTGAGCCACATCAAGAGTCAATAGTAATGTGGCTCTTGCCAGAGATAAGCTTTCATGATTTATATGGGCCTGGTGGGGCATGATATAGTACGCTAGAGGTACCCAGGCGGCTAGCTTTCAGGGAGTCACCAAAGAGCCCACCAGAAAGGCATTTCTTTACATTCAAAGCACTATTTTCTTCTCTGACCTGATGCCTCACTTTCCCTCAATATGGGAATGAGATAATGGTTATGTATGTGAACTGTTGTAGCAGATTTCCAACTACAGAATATATTTTATGTTTATTGCAGCTATTAATGAAATTATGGAATTGGTAAGCAAGAACCATTATCAGATAGCTTGTCAGCGGTACTGGGAAGCCACTCACAATTCTCAAATGGAGGCTGGAATTAATCATCCTAACCAGTACTTTGAAGAGAGCTACAAAGTTTTACACGGACTCTCCCAGTCAAGTCAAGGTAAATATTCACACTATACGCTGTTTACCTTTTTGTTAGTGTTCTTTAATCATTTAAATGATAATCAGCAAATGCTTCAGGAAATGATACAAGCAAGAGGAAGCATGTTGTAGTATTAAGCTCTTTGTATAATGATCTAATGAGATGCGTGGAGTAGAGAATGAGTGGTGTTGGTCACTTCTTACATTAAATAACAACTTTCTTTCAAACACCTCAAAAAATGTTGAGCTAGTCTACATAGCTCACCTTCACTCTTTTTGATAAAAGAACTATATCATCTGCTGACTTCAAATTTGACATGTTCCAATTACTCGAACAGTTTCAGGCCTACAGTTTATGATATGTTTACATCCCTCTCAGACTTGACTGCTACCTTAACCTTCCTCATGATGCCATCCAAATAAATAAATAAATAAATATATATATACTGTATGTGTGTGTGTGTATAATATACACATACACACATAATAACTGTATAATATATATAAATGTATTTGTTAGCATAAGTTGAGTATTAATTTCACGTTTTTATCCACAGCCAAGAAGACACCGCAGGTGAGAATGAATCGTTCTGTCATGTATTCTTCTCAGTCTTTGAGTCAGCCAACACAAATGTCATCCCAGTCCACGCAAGGTTCTACCCAAGACGACACCACTCCCGCAGATATGGATTCTACGATGTTTGATGATGACATGGACTCGGCAATGCTGGAACAGTATATGGAAACGTCGAAAGCTTGATTTCAGTGTTCATAGGTATGATAATGCCAGGTAAAAATGTTTGAGTGTGCTCTGGTCTGTCCATTCAGTATTGAAAAATTAATTGAGTACAAGTGTTTGTTAAAATACAATAAAGTGAAAGCATATACTTTATCCTGTTATAAGCTTTGACTAAATGCTGCAAGATGGAATTAAGATGGTCTTTGGGTAGTCCTTCTTTTGACCTCCACCATAACTATTTTGATTTTTTCAAATTGATTTTGAATACTGTTTGTGTTGGTAGCTTATAGGCCTACAAATAAGAGTGCAGAGTAGCTTTTCAGGAAAGAAATAACTCTTCTTGTCTTTTATATTAGGTTGTGACAATGGAAAGAGAGAGAAAGACATCTGTATTCAGGTACTGTATTGCCCTTTGCACATCCTGTTTAACCTTGATGAAACAAATAACTGGTTTGACAATCACCTGAAAATCCTCACTGTAGTAATCTCTTGATGATCCTTGAATGTACAGTTGGTTTGGCAATACGATATTGTGTGTTATGTACAGTGCTAGAATTTGGAGAATTTGGAGGAAATTTATGTATTTCTGATTATTGTTTAAATGTAACCAGCCTTCCAAAAATAATAGTACATATGGATGGAAAGTACAAACTACGCAGTGTTGCGTGCAAAAAAGGTCCACATTTTGTACTATTAATTTTGTAGAGGACCTGAGGAAAGAAGGCAGCAACCATACCTACTTTACCCTAGGCTTGGCTCTACCCTTTTCCATATTTGTACTATGTTAGGCCCAGGATTGCTTATTTTGGCCTTAAGACAGAACTCCACAGCTAATGTGACTTAGTAGTTGGGAGCCATGTCAGTAAGATAGCTTTAAGGAGCCACTGGGGCTTCTCCAGAATGAAGCATTTCATTACATTCAATGCTGCTTTTTTATACCATTATTTTCCTAATATTCCAAATATTGTGTAGTATGTTATTTGAGTGATACTTTTTGAAATGCATACTATTGGAATACAAATCAGATGATTGGAATAACTAGTTAGCATTTGGCTGTGATAAGAAAAGAACAGCATTATTTAATTGGTGGATTTCTCTGCTTTTATATATTAAAAATGTTACATCTTATGCCATCGACTGAAGCAGTGCACTGTGTATGTGTTGATCGATACTGTGGCTTTAGAACCATTTGCTGTGGAAGGCAATTTGCCACTTCTGCAGACTTGGGGCTTCCATAAATTTTGTACAAATAATTTCTTGAGTGGCACACTTCTAGCAAACTTTCTACCAAGTTGTTGAGAGAATTAGAAGGTTTATTTGTAACAACTTAGTCAAATCGTTAAAATTGTGACAGAACTGAACAGGTGTACAACTGTGTAACTCAAACTTATATATTTAGACATAAATTGTTGCTACTCCTTATTTTGTGAGTCACGTGTAGAAAAAGTCAAGCATATGATGAAGAATTTAAAACCTTTATCACTGACACTCTACACAGATGTAAAGGGGATAGAGAGGATAAGATGTTTATCGCTATAGGGTACTGGAGATGTGGCATACAGATCTAGTGGTATAGTCATGCTGAGAAATGTTGCAACACATTGGTAAACACAAGATAAATATAGTCTTAAATATATAATACTTATATGTGACATACAGTAAATGTGCAATTCATTGAGTTATGTTTCAGATTTGATATTAAAGAAACATGCTAAGTGTACAGCCATAGAAAATTATAAAACTTAGTATTGGTACACAAGATTCCAATGTATGATGTGTAAATATTTGTGCATAGATAAGAAGGACCTTAGATGTGTGTGTGTGAGAGAACGTGGGTGCACATTCCACCCAGCTATTTTCAGGTTTGGTCATGCGAATAAACATTGGTAATGTTCATCCCATAATTTAACTTAATATAGGTGGCCTCAATTTGCACAGAACTGGGGAACACTGGTCCGTGGTGTGTCTGGTAAACACACACATCAAGTTTCATAGTATGCAAGCGAGTCTTGATGTTATGCAGGTTTAGTGCAAATAATACAAGCTAATCTTCAGGTTTACCACATTGTGGGCAGTGTCAGGCTCCAACACACATTACATTATTTTGTTTTACAAATATTTTTAGTTTGATTTGCTTTGTTCTTTATTGTACAGTTTTACAGGAGCATGAACCCTGTGCAAATCCAGGTCCACCTATATGGTTTCTATTTCTAAAAAGCATTGGAATTTTGTTGTTGTCTTGGTAATGTAAATAACAAAGCATTTTATCACGTGTAATATATTTATTTTCTAAATCCATTATAAATAGCACAAACAATTTACAGTACAGAGGCTTCTTTTATTTGACCTTATATATAAAAATCTTTATTTTATTTACTTTAGGTAGTAAGTTTTGTTCTGGTGTAATAATGTCTCATGTGGCATACAACTGAGGATCAGCATTTGATCCCCCGGATCTGACAGATGGCGGAACACGTTGGGTTTCATCTCAAGCCTCTGTTCACCTAGCAGTAAATAGGCACCCCAGGAGCTAGGCAACTCTTGTGGGGTGCATACAGTAGTTGGTCTCAGGGAACCTTACACCCATTACAATTTTTCACGTAGCAGTAAATAGGTACCCGGGATTTAGGCAACTGTTGTGGGTTGTATGCTGGTGAAAGTCATCAGTAGATCAGCAGTTGACCTAGGGGGGACCTGGATAAGCCTAACAGGCTTCCTGTCCCTGACTGGGAAACCAAAAGCATTTGGATCTCTCTTCTCTGAATTACTAAATCTGCAATCAACAAAGTTGTATCTATCCTGGGCACCAAAAAGGTTCACGATTGCAGGCAAGCAAGATGACGTATGGTGCCTTGCGACCAAGGAACCATATATCAGTTCACTGTTCAAGAGTTATTAATAGTAATTGTTATTATTATTATTTTTAATTACCGAGGTTCTGATTACAAATTTTACATAACAGGTATTATATAGAGCCACTAATCACTTGTAGCATTGTTACGGCCCTCTCGGGACGCAACGGGGTTCTCACTCTGATGTTGTTAGAGGAAGATATATGTATCCGTTCCCAAGCCAGTAGTGGCTATCAAGGGATGAGATCCGTGACGCAAGTAACTTAAAAGGGAGTAGGGAAAGAAAGTTAAGAACTTAATATTATAATTAACACCATCACCGTTTAAATATATAAAATTAATGAGTGCACAAGGGGGAGGGGTATTAACACTAAACTGGGGGATTATTCACAATGTAGTCTTCTGCTGAAGACTGGATCAAGAAGCTAGGTGCTGAGTCCGCGGTGCTTTCTTCGTGGCCTCAAGAAGTGTCCTCTGAGAATGCCGAGCCTACCCTGGCCACAGGTCAGCCACAACACAGGTCCACTGGGGGCACCGTCGTGGAGGCCGTCAACCACACGTCCAGCTGGTCTGCTGGCAGGTACTGAGCCACCAAGGCTGGTACGGCCACTCCACGAACGATATAAGGGGTACGCCCTAGACAGGAGTCTCGTGTGATATCACAAATCACCCTCCTGTCCTCAATACCCCAGTGGATGATCGTCTCCAACAGTCGGTCCCGGGTAAATCCTTTCACTGCCACTCCACTGGCAGGCTAACACACCACAGTGTTCTTCCGGGGGGACGACGTCACAACAGCTGCAGCAAACTTCACAGTATGGAGACTGGCTGCCTCGGGTAGACTGACTCCACTTCCATCACAGTGGTCCCAGGTCGGCTCTGTAAGCAGACACGTCATCAATAACAGGGACACTAAAACACCACACTTACAGGCTCAGACACAAACGCCCGACATATCCACTCCATAGATGGCGTTGTAGTCTGAGCACCACCTCACCAGAGGTCAGCGGCGGCGGTGTTGAGCGCTGAACGGGGCTGGAAACTGGCCCTCGTAGCTAGTACACGTCGTCGGTTTGGAGGGGGTTTCGGGAGCTGACCCACAGATGGCGCGGCCGTCACTGTTTCGAGATTGGACGCTGGATCAGGGTCCGTAACAAGCATTTTGAGAAGTGTCCATATAGGCAAAGGTCCAAACACCAAGAATAAAAAAAAGAGGTCCAAAGGTGTATTCAGCAACTCATGAGTTACAGATTTCTAGTGACATCACACTCATGTGTGATGTCATACTCCACCACACTCCATTGTCACACAATCACACTCCATTGGTCACTCTAGTGACCAATGGAGAAGGTCACCCCCTACTGGTCACCAAGCCCAGCCTACAGACACCAGGTGACAGCACCTCTCGTTACCAATGGTCGTTCCTTCCACAATGAACAGCAACATTAGCAAATTTGCAGATGGGACAAATATTGGGCATAAAAGGACTGAAAACTGGTACAAGACTATTTAGATAGCCTTTTAAAAGGATGAAAGACTGGCAGATGCAGTGTAATGCTGAGAAATATTGGGTTATGTTAATAGAGATGCAGTATCAGCTGATTAATGTTGAAATCTAAAAATATATCAAGGAATCTTAATTAGTAGTAATCTTGAGTCTAATATTTTAAATAGAGAAAGAAGAACACTGGGATTCATATCAAGAGGCATTAACAATAATACATATAATATTACACACTAAGAAATCACAATGGCATGAAATACATTATACAAAAATCGTTCAAATCCCCGGATTGCTCCAATGATTTTTGCACATCTAATATTGTTAAGAACATAACAATAAAGGAAGCTGCAGAAGACAGTTTTGTCATGTACAGTACATATATGACTAACCTTTGTCTCAAGTAATCCAATGATCGTATGTCTGTTATGTTGCCAGCCCGGTAAGTTGTTCCATAAATTGACAATACTATTTCTAAACCAGTATTTACCCAGGTCTTTCCCGAGTCTAAACTTATCCAACTTATATCCTTTGTTTCGGGTTCAATTTTTTTTCCTCTATATTCTCCTCCCCCCCTTTTGTTATACCCTTTCTTCCATTTATATGCATGAATTGCCTGCTACTTGTCATCTTTCTTGAGAATGTAACTCATAGTTTTCAATCACATCATACAGGAGGTTTCTAATTGCTGACATTAAGTATTTCAGTGCAGTGTTTGAGACTCACGTGGGTCTTGCCTCGTTTGCTGGAAGCTGCCGTCTGCTCCCACTTCTGCTTGGGGCTCTGGGGACAGCAGACTTGTATCCCTAAATGTTACAAGCCTTAGTACCAACTTTGTACCCAGATTCACTATGGGTGGTCACCCATCTTTCGTAATGAGACGTTTAGGATAGGGATAGGTCATGTCTTTACCTTGGTCTGTTGGTTGTCAGAAACTGTAAACCTGCATTCCTCATCCAAGTCACTAACATTGCAGCTTCAAGTTTGGGGCATATTCTAGGGAATGTGTATGCTGCTGTGACCTTGTCCAGTGGTGATAGGGCGAGGTTACATCAGGAATTTGCGCCCTGCTGGTGGCTCGGCCTTCAGTCTCTTACCATTTACCTATGGAATTACTAGACATGGATACACAGGCTACACAAAACTGGCTTATTAAGTACAAAAGGAGAATTAATAGCAACATTTAACCAGATGAATATTGTTGTTGTGTGATAGGCGTACAAAGACTGTATGATTGGGAATGCTAAGCTGGTGTAAGGTGTTGACCTAACTGGCAGAAGAATGAGAGGAGCTGCTGGGAGGAACGAGAAGTGGCAAGAACAGTCAATAACAAGAAAGAGAAGTGGCTTCTGTGGATGAAATTTAAAGAGAGAAAGAGTCGAGAAAGAGGATGCTTTATTAGAGAAACCATTGTGAAAAATACAAGCCAAGAAGAAAATATTAGAATAAATGAGGAGAATGAAGGAAATATAAGAAATGAATGTGCAAAAAACCAAGATGTGTTGGAAGGAGGCTACAGAAGGCAAGAATATGGGTAAAAATACTCGTGGAATACACACAACAATTCTAAGCGACATAAAATACAATAGAGAATGAGCTTTGAAATTTTTTTAGGCATAGTTGAGGAAAGAAATACGAGACATTAACATGATTGGTTTCACTGGTGGGAGAAAAGTGAGATAGATGGGAAGAAATCATTTCCATGGAATAGAGGAATACAACCAAAATAATTAAATGCTGCATATTAATAAGGTTCATTGTGCTCACTAATTTGTGACGTTTTAAAATTATCAAATAAAAAAAAGTGTGGAAGAACATGGAAACTGCATTGTGGGAGGGGGGGGTTATTAAAAAATCCTCTCAGTACTTTGTATGTGGGTAAAGGAGAGGTGGTGGTACAGGAGGCGACACAAGGTACAGGAGACTTCATAAGGTACAGAAGGCGACACAAGGTACAGGAGACGTCATAAGGTACAAGAGGCGACACAAGGTACAGGAGACGTCATAAGGTACAAGAGGCGACACAAGGTACAAGCCACATAAGGTACAGGAGGCGACACAAGGTACAAGAGACGTCACAAGGTACAGGAGGCGACACAAAGGCGCCCACTGTGAATAACATGGTGGCTGGAGACTAGTATCAACACGACAGCCACAACGCACCTCCACACTCAAGGTTAAACACCAATTGTCTGATGCCTTTGGGGCTGTCAATCCCGATTTACGCCAGGATGAGTCATATGGGGCCATTGTGTCACCGCATCTGTCATGCAGTACACTATTGTATGACAGTTTTGTCATAGTGAAGGTCATTAAACCCTTATGGTGTTTGAGAGGTGCGACGTAGTTGACCTTGAAAGGAGTATTTTTCAAGGTGCAAGCGGGGGTGTGACGTCATGGACTTCCGCCAATGGCAGGGCTGAACGCTATTAGGCCGATATTCTGGGGGGGCGGGGGTGTTTACACTGACGTCATGGGTTTCCACCAATAGGAAGTGTTAAGGGTGGGTAGGCGACCAATCAGAGGCCAGTTCTGCTGCCCCGCCTCCGTCTGTGTGGTGGTAGCTGGTGTATGGATGCTGGGGAGGTGAGCTTCGGGAGGCAGGTTCGATACTCGTGCTGCAGAGATCCACACCGACGCTTACTGGTCTTGGCTGGATATGCGGCGCCGCCGAGAAACAGGTCGAGCAGGAATTCTTAGACAGGGAAACTAACAGCGTCTGGAACCTATTCTGAGCCTTGTTGATTCCCTTCTAACACTATAATTTGAACTCACTTTAAAACCTGAAGAATTTCAAAATAATTTTAGTTTTTCAATTTTGTGTCCAAATAATTATTAAAACATGTACGTAACAAATGAACAAATCCACATATTTCTATGTGTATGTACGTAATATGTAAATTATGAAGCAAATATGAAACTGGCGCCATTGTACTAATATAGACTTTATCTACTGTAGGTAGATGGCCTGTG